GGATTGTAAAACTCCATGGAAGTTGACGGCTTCCCTGCAGTGGTCTCTGATATGCTTGGCTTCAAGAGACGGTGTCTCACCGACCTGGTAAGTTGTGCCTAGCAGAGGGCAGCCAACCGGAATGTTCGGAGAGTGGAAGGTGACATTAGATGCAATGGATTCAAGCTGGTCTAGAATAGGATCGACTTGGGCCGAATGGAATGCAAAAGGAACATTGACCCTTGTTGCCTTGATGTTGTTGGCCGTAAGCATTTGAGACAAATTCTCAATGTCGGCTACACGACCACTGACAACGGTATCTTGTGGGCCATTAATGCAAGCAACATCGTGAATACTCGTATCCAGATGTTTCCGAATGCCCTCCACGCTGCTTCGGACTGCCAGCATCTCGTGACTTCCAATGGTGCATTTTTCTTGGAGGAGACGAGCTCTCATTCCAACGAGGTAGATTGTGTCGCTTGCTGTGAGGACACCGGCGACTTTGAGTGCGGCATAGTGGCCTAGACTGTGACCAACCACGTAGGCTGGCTTCATGCCCAATGCTATCCAGAAGCTCGCGAGAGCCATTTGAATGCAAGTAGTACCGAGTTGGACAACCAGCGGCTCAAGATCGTCAATGGCGACAGATCCATCGACAAGTGGCATAAATGAAGGGAATCCATGTCGTTGAGCGAGAATGTCGTAGGACTCGATTTCCTTGCGGAATGTTGCGTACTGCAGTAAATGCTGCCCTATGGCGTTGTATTGTGCCCCTTGGCCGCTGAATGCAAAAGCGACTGGTGTTTCTTCGGAGCGCCTATGAGTGTCTCGTTTGGCCATTTCATTCAAGGCACTCAACAGCTGCTCGCAATTTGCAGCTGGGATGGCAACCCGGAATGGATGATGCATCCGTCGAGCCGTAGTTGTATAAGACAGCTTGCGCAAGAAGTCATCTGCACCTGTTTTCTGCTGAACAAAGTTTCTCAGTTTCTCCAAGTTTCCTCTGAGAGATGAAATTGACTTGGCAGATACCGTCACAACGTGAGCTGTCCGAGGATCGGGTTGTGATGAGTTCGTCGTGAGTTCCGGATAGTCTTCCATGATCAGCGCGGTGTTGCCACCGGCGGCAGAAAAATTGTTGACAAAGGCACGGCGAATGTTGTTCAACTCACGCTTTCGGTCCCACCGCGTGGCAGACATGGCAATATGCACGTTGCGTTTCTCCAAATCTGTGGGAAATTTGTGATTGATTTTGCCTTTGATGCCACAGTGAGGTGGGATAAGGTTCTTTTCCATCATTAATAAAACTTTGATCAGCGCCGTAACACCAGATGCAGACTCAGAATGCCCGACGTTTGCTTTAGTTGATCCCAAATGGAGGCTTTCGTGCGGCAGTCGTGTATAAGACGGAGCAAAACAGCTGAGGACCGATGCCATCTCAGTAGCATCGCCAGCCTGTGTGCCAGTGCCGTGCATTTCTATGTAGCTGACCTGATTAGGAGGTACACCAGTTTCAGTGAGGAGTTTGGAGAAGATCTCCTCTTGAGCTCCGCAGTGCGGTCTGGTAATCGAAACAGACTCCGCAGAATGGTTGGTATGCGCGCCCAAAATGACTCCAAGGATGGGGTCATGGTCTGCGATTGCATCGTCGAGCCTCTTTAGAACAATGGTGCCAACCGCGTCTGCGCGACAATAGCCATCAGCCGCATCATCGAACGTTTTGCAGTTGCCTATAGGGGTTTCATTAGCTCAAATCATCAAAATCGCCGCGTGAATACACATACCTTCCCTGGCGAGGAAATGCCCACGGTCCAATCCCACAAAACTATCAGGATTTGACATGACATTCGTCCCACCAGCGACCGCTGTGTCACATTCATTGCGCCAGATCGCATTACAGGCAAGGTGGATGGCTGCAAGACTGGACGAGCTGATTGGAGATATAATGTTAGTTGAAAGTTATTTGAACAAACAGCATGTAGAAGCTTACCAAGCGGTGTCAACGCTCACTGATGGGCCGCAATATTTGAAGAAATAGTTCACCTTGCCTGGAGTAAAGGCTCGATTTCCGCCTTTTCTCAAGTTAGTAATTGAACAAATAAGGTCAATAAAAATGTATCATGGACTGAGCCCTCACCTGGAATAAAATAAGTGTCGACGTTTTGGCCGCAGCTAACTTCTCTGTAGTCGTCGCTAGTCATTCCGTAGAATACTCCAACACGGTCACGCTGAGTCGACGGCGTTCTATCTGCAACGATACCTGCCATTTCAAGAGCCTCGTAGGCTGTTGTCAGAGCCATTCGTTGGCCAGGGTCAGATTGTTCAGCCTCTTTTGGAGATATGTTGAAAAATTTTGCATCAAAAAGCCCCGGCTCATTAATCCAACATCCATGCAGAATCTTGCTTGTATTCTTGGTTTTGCCGGTTGGATCATAATATTTTTCTGCATTGTATCTGTCTTCTGGGACACGTCGATGGACATCGAGACCTTGGTAAAGCAAGTTCCAGAATTCTTCCACGTCTGCTGCTTCTGGAAATCTGCCAGACATTCCAATGATTGCTATCTTAGCATCGCTTGGTTTGACTGCACGGGAAGATTTTGAACCAGCATCAGCAGCTATACTCTCCATGATCTTATCCGCGATCGCGACTCGCTTAGACAGTTCCGGCGAAAACGACGCCTTGAAACTCGGACAGGCATTGGTTGCGACTGGGCACAAGATGTATTGGCCCGTAGAGCTTGCTTTTTTCAGTGTTTTTTGTACGTTCGCAGCAGCGTCGCGTATATCCAGGGGTAGAACGAGGATACTTTCAATGGCATGGTACAGCAAGTCTCGGAAGCAACTGTCTTCCAGCGTGCTGCCACTCGATGAGCTAGAAATGAAGGGAATTTTGCTTGACAGATCGCTAACCGATCCAACGTCTTGAAGGATTTGCTCAACATCTTTAGCAGCGAAAATGTGCGGTGCATGGTATGGTGCATGCACAGAAATGGGCGTGGATTTGGGCGTTTCTAAAAATTGCGAAGACTCTAAAAACTTCTGTACAGTTTCCGGTGGACCGCTGACTGTCCAAGAATTTTGACCTTTTGCGCTGACGTACGGCGACGACAAGGGCGGGATCATCTGCATACTTGGTAAATATTGGCTTGTAGAAAGATGCAACAATGTTACTTACGCTGCTGTCCCTGTAGGCTGCGATGGCCTTTTCAGCAAGTGCCAGCGGATATTGCGATTCTGCAACCACATGTGACCAGTAAGAGGAACCGTTGGACTTTTTATGACCGAACAAAGCGGCTGTTCGAGCAGCCAGGAGGCCTATTTGTAATGACACCCGGACAGCATCAACACCGGCTTGCACCAGCTCGCCCAGCGACTTTGAAGAGCCGACTGCGGCTGCAGCCAATGTTCCAATACATAATCCCGAGACGTAGTTGTTTGGGTGTGATGGGTATATCTCATCGCAGTCTCCGAAGTAGCTATGTAATGTTGTTAGCATGAGGATGATAGCCATAGAAGCGAGGATATCCTACTTGATAAAGGCACAAATCTGGTATATCGTCGTCAAGGTGCTGTCCAGCGCTGCATTCTTGTCCTTCTTTAGCCCCCGAGCAACAAGATTCTGTATACTGGAGAAAGCCGGAAACCATTGGCGTTCTGCGATTGTAAGCCGAGCTACCTCTTGCCTCAAAGCAACATTCACTCGATCGGTGAACAACGTCAAGTAAGGATTGTTTTTCTTAAGAAGGAGTAGCTGTAAGTTCGATAGGCTAAAGCTACTTTGATCTCCAAAAACAAAAACTCGAAAGGAATCAGCCTCGTTGCCGGACTTGCTAATTGTCAAATGCTCCATGATGGCAGTCAAGTCTAGCATACGAGGATGAAATGAAGAGTAGAAAGCCCAAAACAAACGACAAACATATGGCACAATCAGTCCTCTATTAACTCTTCTTTTGTTTAGCTTAGGTAATCCAAAAGGGAAGCATTTCACTGCATTAGTGATAAGACTCTCTCTAGGATGATCTCATCAGCAACCGCTCGGGTCAGCCACATACGGTTTCAGAATAAGAAGGTCACAAGAGTATGTATTGTGACACCTTTACCCACGCGAACGGCTTAACACATATTTTGACATGGCGCGCTATCTAAACTTATGCTTTATTCGGTGAGACACGGGCTAAGTGCGTACAGGAATGACTCGATTTTGGAAACCAGGATCATTCGTTGGCATCAAGGGAAATATGTCTTAGTTGAATCGGACAATTCCTAACTACATTCAAATATATATCTAGTTGAGATCCGATCATGTCGCTGCTCAGGCCTTTGGGTTTTTAGCTACGATGCGAGACACTAGCAAAATGTATATACATTTTGAAAATCGAAAGTTGTTGCATCGATCGAGATCTAGGGCCCAATATATGGCCCCGCCGAAAGCGGCATCTATACAAACATTCGGCCCATTTCTGTAGGCTAAAAATAAAGTTAAATAGACATGCATTCCGCCACAAATAGTACTTAGGTATGAAGATACGCTTGACGCAAACATCTTTTCTGTCATGGGAATCGATAGAGAACATCGAGATCGTATATTCATCCATATGCACCACCTCCCTTCAATTACTAATCCAAAACCCAAGAATAATTCAATACCACGTTACATTGACATACCCATCAATTCCCACCAGTATTCGGTATTACAGCGCCCAATGGCGCATCAAAGGAAGACATTGTGACTGTTTACTCATACTTGCTTCAATACGTACGTTTCACTCTTAGTCTCACAGTTAGCATGATGCTTCTTCAATGAACTGGTACGACATATATGTCTCCCTTGTATCATCATATAACTGAATAGTTTGACACCACGGAGGGGCTAGTAGAGTATATAATTCTCATGCTGAGAAATGCGCTTGTATTCTTAATGTTATTCCAACAGCTTCATTGACCAATCTCAAAGAAAGAAGTGTGTTCTTCAAACGTCTACATCTGTATGCTGAGGCTAAATTACTCCACACGTGTTGTTCATTTGGGTACAATCTCATTGTTATCCAAAAACTCTTCAAAGTAGCCAATAGTCATCCTACCGATAGCAGCATCGTCAATGTCTATTTTAATTACACGATATTCAGTTTTATACGGCGAATCACTTACGTTGACCTTTGAGTATCAGCAAAGTTTTTGTGGTCAGGAGCGACTTTCTCCATGAAGCGTGGATCAGCTTTCATGCGTAGAAAATCTTCCATATTGCGGAATACGAATTGCACAATACAGTCATAGTCAGACAGTTTCGAGAACTCGGGGTCGTAGAGCTTGAAAAGCAATGGTCGACTTTGGCTGTCGTTATGGGTCTAGCAAAGTGTAAGAGGTTACAGTCAACAAATTGCCAAACGAAATAAACGACTTACCATGTTATACCGAACAATTCCATATTCCTTCATGAGGCCGGTGACTAAGGGAGCATGAACCTTGGTCATGTACTCTCGGTACTCCGCTTCACTAAGTCCGGGTTTGCGAAAAGCAGTGATAGTGAGACATAACAACTGCTGGGGTTGGGGAACCGAGTCTGAGATAGCCATTGGATCTTCTTAGGCGCTAAATGTTTTTACGATGGACAGAACGCAGCTGCGTAATGGAGCTGGCGATGTGATTATTATAGGTCCAGTGTAAGTGAGCCTCCAAAAGTAAAAGGAAAATACCATCAAAGACAAGCTTATGTAATGAAAGTGTCTGGAACTAGTTTTACAAATGTAAACAATACCGCGTTCATCAAAGTCAACCCTGCATTCGTCATTGACAGCTCTGCATTCATTGGCTGGCTCTGCGTTCATGGGGCTATTCTGCGTTCAGCAAAGCGAGTCTGAGTTCATGATAAATAATTGATCCTTTAGCCCACTGATCGGCATCTAAATAGTTCATGAAGAGGCATGCGGATGGATTTTCGGTGAATAATCGACGATCGCTATGCCCTTGTTTAATTTGCATTCCAGCGCGTTACGAAGCGACCCCTAGTTAGTATTCATGTTGGCAAACTGCCTAAGTCGGAAATTTGTGTCAGCGGCAAACAGCGGTTCGGATAAAGTGAGCTAACCTTGATTCGATTGGATTGAGGGCAAACTCTTGTAAATCTGTCCGAGGTTGATTGTATGGCTGGCCTATCATGCAACGTTTTCATTTGGATCCGCCCTATAACACTTGAAGTTCTGTAAAGTCCGCCCTCGTCAAATCATGAAAGCGAGCTGTGCACATCTGATTGCAAATGATTGAATGCGCACTCCGTGCAAATCATTGGGAAAATCGTAGCTTTCGGAAACTTCAAGTTGTACGAAAGCGTCAATCTACCCTACAATTCTTTCAAGCTGACATAGACCGTTATGCCATACCATTTCGCCATGTTATCCATAAGGTATGTATTTGGGCACTAAGTCATCCCTCAAACGCGTCTCCTTTCTATATAAGAACAACATTGCAGTCTTATACAGTTATTTCTCTTCAGTAGATGATTCAATCTTGTTCATTATAGAGTCAAGCATTCAGTATCGGCGTTCATGATGATTCGCTTTCCTTGGGTGCTTTTGTTAGCGCATCTTTTTTACTCTACCACTTGGGCAAAGACTGTCTATGAAACTTTGCGCATTACATGGGAAGAGGGGGCTCCGAACGGGCAGAGCAGAGAACTTATCCACACCAATGGGCAATTTCCTAGTCCAACGCTTGTCTGGGACGAAGGGGACGATGTTGAAGTGAGTAGTTACTCCTCTGCGTTAACATCTTTTGTAATAGGTACTAATGTGAGCGTCAATAGATAACCGTCATTAACGACATGGCGAAAAACGTGACCGTGCATTGGCATGGCCTTGAGTATGATCAGCACCTTCTATTTTTTACTGGGAATAGTGACTGACTCGGAGAGTCTGTGATTAGCCAAAAGAATTCTACCTGGTCTGATGGCACCCCTGGCCTTACACAGCGCCCGATCAAGCCTGGAAACAAGTTTGTGTACAAATTTAAAGCATCGCCTCCAGGAAATCACTGGTATCACTCCCATGAGAAAATGTCTCTGGTTGATGGCCTTTATGGTGCAATTCACATCAGGTTCGTAATAAATAATGCTATTCTCTTCAACGCTGTATGGACCAACTAATGAATATGTAGGCCAAAACAAGACCGCATGGGGCTTTGGAGCCAAATCGTCAGCGATTACAAAGACGTCGAAGCTATGGAGAAAGCCGCTCGTGATCCAGAATATCTAGTGGTATCTGATTGGAGCCAGTATACTTCCGAAGAGTACTGGAAGATATCCACTGATTCAGGGATGCTTGTTTTGTACGTTCATGGCCGGCGTTTGCTTATTGCACCTTTGATTTCTTCTTTTATACGGCGACTAACCGTTGTTACAGCTGCCTTGACAGTATCTTAGTCAACGGAAAAGGAGAGCTTTATTGTCCAGGCCAAAAGTTTCTCCAATCAGAGCTTGCTCCAGGCCTAGTTGACGATGCATTCCCACCTGGCACAAAGGTCTCAGACAAAGGGTGAGCAATAGAGCAGGCGTTATCTTATTTCTGCCCCGTATCACATTGCTGACTTGCGTTTTGCCAGATGCTTCCCAGCGCAACTTGATCAAATCCAGGGTGGCCCTTGGAACGTCACTAAACGCCCAGATCTCATACCACCACGTGTTCAAGAAGGCTGTGTCCCATCCAAGCATGAGAATGCATCGATAACTGTTGATCCGAAAAAAAACAATGGCTGGGTTAGCATGCACGTTGTGGCCGCCGCCACTATCGCTCAAATTGCCTTTTCCATTGATGACCATGAATTTTGGTTGTACGAAGTTGACGGAAACTATGTTAATCCAAAGAAGTTTGTCAGCATGGTAATGTCTGCTGGAGAGACCTTCTCGATTATGGTCAAGCTTGATAAAACCCCAGGGAAGTATACGATGCGCATTCCCAACTCTGGAGTTTCTCAAGTATTGGGAGGATATGCCGAAATGATCTATGCTGGACATGAGCAAGACCAGAGATCAGATAAGCCATATTTGTCATTCGGAGGTAATCCGATCTCTCCAGAGGTTGAGAAAAACTCCTACTTTCCATGGCAGCTGGAATCGGACCACATGGAACCGTGGCCTCCGAATAAGCCTCGACCAGGTAACGCCGACGAGGAACATCTGCTCGCGGTTGGTCGTGTTGGCGCACCATATAATTACACCATGAACACCAAATACCTATATCCCATCGACTTCCAAAACAACGACCCTCTGCTATTCTACCCCAATGCAACTGTGGGAACCGAAAATGACAACCTAGTGATTCGCACCAAGAATGGATCTTGGGTTGATCTCATCTTGCAAGTTTCCACCTTGCCAGGCGACACGTCAGCTTTTGAGCATTTCATGCATAAACACGGCAGCAAAACGTGGAGAATTGGCTTTGGAACTGGTGTCTGGAACTATACTAGCGTTGAAGAGGCAATTAAGGAACGGCCCAAGGATTTCAACTTGGAGACCCCCGGCTTGCGCGATACGTGGCTCACAGCGTTCTCTGTAACAGGGGAGGCTTACTGGAATGTTTTCAGATACCATGTGGATAATCCCGGCCCTTGGCTGTTCCATTGCCATATTGAGCTTCATTTGATGGGTGGAATGGGCATTGTTATTATGGATGGCACGGATGCATGGCCAGAAAATATCCCGAAAGAGTACCAGCTTGATTAACAACGGCAAAGATAATGTATAGAAGTTTGCACTAAATATTAATACTTAAACTTGTTTGCAATATACACGGTTCTTTCTGGCGCAATACTGGCAATTCAAATTAGGCTTAGACATCAAAATAGTATTGTCTCACTGACCCTATCAAATAAATACCAGCTACGTAGTGCAGCATGGCTAACGCTTTAGCAAGTCATTTGAGATTCCAACCGCAGGATCGGGACACATTCTAGATACTATCAGTATTTCCAACATCCATAATTTGAAGATAACCAGAGAGAATCCAGCTAACACAAGATATTTATCTCTACTTAGGTAGATTAATTGACTATATAGCTTGAAGATAGACAACACTTTTGATCCTTTATTGTTTGCTCAGTCGGGATAAAAACCAAGGGACGAGGCGTTTTAGTGTAGGGTGGCTCCACGTTAGAGAAAGTGGCACTTTAATTCTAAATGCAGCTTGGAAAGCTTGTCGCAGCGCCACTGTCATGACGCTATCCAGTCCCAGATCTGAAAGTCGAGTCTGTGAACCAATGTCGTTAATGTCATCCATCATCAAAACTCTCGCAACGCATTCGGGAAGTCGTTTGTCAACCCACTTTTCTCTCTCTAGTGGATGAGTCGGGCACAGTTTCGTCCTTGATAGTATCAGTATTGGTGGTGACTGTAGCCATGCTGCTGGCTGTTGTTTCCAAGCCCTTGAGCTTTATCCTGGCCCGCCGCACCACAATATCCTCCAGTAGCGGTATAGCAGCAGATTCCCCTTCAAGTAGAGGCAAGCAGCGCGTGACAACAGCGCTCTTGACATCATACTGACTAAGATGCTCCCAAGCGCGGAAAAGCTTCACCCGCTGTGATATCAGTAATACCCTTGCTGCGCAACTCCGTCATGAGAAAACTAGTGCTAGTGGCCATACCGAGACCGCGGACGGCTGTGAATTGAATTGCGACAGTATTATCACCTCGTGCGCGTCTATATGTTGCCAAGGCGTTAAGGGAAGCATTGCTAGATCCATATGACGCCTGTCCAACCGTGCCAACAAGCTGTCTGATAGACGAATACATGATGAAGAAGTCTAGCGACCTGGGTGGAAAGGCTTTATGAAGCGCGAGTGCGCCATTGACTTTTGGAGCTAGGAAACGTGCGAATGAGTCGCGGGTTGTCTCAACGAGAGAACTAACCTCAAGAATGCCAGCGGCGTGAATTACTCCCAGCACAGGAGGGACGTTGAGTACTCTGATTGCTTTTAGCAAACGTTCAGCGGCGTCTGGTAGAGAGATGTCGAGTACTAGGGTATGTAGAGCAGCTCCCTGAGCTTCAAAAGTTTGAACGCGACTGATTACAGCTTCAAGTTTAGCTTCGTCAGCGGCAAGAATCGACTGGTAGTTGCGAGGTGGTAGACCGCGGCGGGAAACAATCACAACGCTTCAAGCCCCCCGTCTCAATCAGAAAGTTATAGGTCTCTAAACCGAAGTCGCCCCAGTATATAGTGACAATGTGGGTTCCTTTAGGTTTCGGCATCAGTGTGTTATTTATACCGGGTGCATGCTTCTGGCCTTCTGACAAGGGCCTCATTATAGCTCGCCTGGGAAGACCGTCGTCGATCCGAAGTATATCATATTCGTCGGCATATTTAAATAGCCGAAATTGGAAAATCGCCTGGTGACTCGCTGTCTATCAGCCCTCCCCAGATATCTGGATGTTCCGATGCAATGATTCGCGCCAGCCCGTAAAGCGCTCCATGAGCGAGTCCTGTGACAGATTCTCCAGAGAATACACAATTAGTGAGCACAAAGAACTTAGCTAGCACAAATTGGCCAATAGCCACTAAGGCTCTGACAATGCTAGCAGTTTCGCAAACGAATTCCTCGGCAGCATCTGCAACCTGTGCCGCTGTTGGGATTGCTGGAGGAGCAGCATAGACGACTATGGTTCCCTTCTCGCTAAGAGCAGCTGAAAGATCAGAGAGCACGGCATGTAACCTTTGCAACTCTATTTTCGAGTTGTGTACTATAAGCTTTAAGTAGTATTAGATCGCTGGATATCATTATAACGTGCGTTAAGTCCCGTGGTTGTTCTTTGAATGTTGGCGGCACCCAAACAAGCTCATGAACTAGGCTCCCGCTGCCATCGACTGCGCGATTAACAATATCTGATAATCTCATTCCTTGAAACATTGCCAGAAGGCTGCCTTGCTGATCAAGAATGCGAATATCCGCTGCGTGATAATTGGCACCGATGTGTTTTTGAACCATAGACACGTCAATGGCTTTGGATTGCGCCGCCATTTCAGGTGTAGCAATTGTGGACCATGAGCATGAACTATGATTAACCCAAATTTCACGGCCGCCAACTTCGGGCGAGGAGGCGGCTGAAAGAACCGAGATTTGCTCGCCTTTCACAACAACGCTCACAATTGGTTCATCGCTTCCTAGTGATACTGGTACATCGAAATTGACATTGGATAGCAGTAATGCGCCTGTGGTTTGGTGGAACGTATTTAAGTAGACAGCGGCAGGAATGATATCGGTACCATCTAATGGATGTTTACCAGGGAAAGGCTTCGTAGCGGTGCTTAATCTGGCAGTGTAGCGGACAACGTTGGTGCTTGGATCGATGATACGCTGGCCAACAAGAATATGTTCCTTGGCATCATATTTTTCCATATCGGCCTATTTTGTACCGATTACGTTCTTGACATTCAAGCTCCACTGTCCAGCAAAACCCGTCTCGGCATTTCTGTAGTATTGTTTGTGTACCCCCGAAGTTCCTGGGACAGATGGACACCAAGTCTGTTTGTAGCTGCGGTTCGCCTCGAAGTTAATGCTTACGCCTTTTATGTATAGCTCTGCGGCGAGTTCCATGATTGCAGCATCCAAACAAGTATTTTGCTTCGTAGTGGCGAGGGTGGCCATGTCGCCGTAGTCAAGACCTCGATCTAGGAGCGTCTCGTTGACCGAGAAGAGCACAATAGGATGTGTCGAAACCTCAACGAAAACGCGGTAGCCATCATCAGCTGCAGCATTGACTGCTGATTTGAGAAAGACCGGACCAATCGTGTTATTAGCCCAGTATTCAACGCCTCGAGGTCGTTTGGTCCGCGCGTTACGGTCTGAGGTTGAGTAGATGGGCAATGTGGGTTGGCGGGGCCCAGAGCATCCGTTAAAGACTGCTCAAGAGGGCCAACAATTTGGTTGAGCATAGGACTATAGAATGCAATATCAGTTTTGACACGAACCGCTTTTACGCCGTGAGCGTTCATATCTGCAACGTATGTTTCCAAGGCATCAAGCTCACCGCTAATGACGCAAATGGACGGGGAAGAGTCAATAGCAGCCACCAAGTCTTGTCTGGTGCCAACCCCCCCTTCTACTTCGGCAAATGGACGATTGATCATTGCCACTCCCCCTTCCGATTGCTGACGAATAAAAGTATACAGCATCGCTCGTCGCGTCACGACCATGTGCCCTCTTCCGCAGTCAAACACCCTGCCACAACAGATGCGGCAATCTCACCAGCTGAATGCCCAATCACAGCCTCGGGGACCAAACCTCTCGACATCAGCACCCGGCTTAAGCCAATTTGCACAACACAGGTGAGGATCTGGATGCCTTCTGACAACTCCAGAAAGTCACCGCTTGCCAATGTATCTAGAATTGAAAACCCTGCCTCGCTTTGCACAATAGCATTCAGTGGATCAATGGCTTGACGAAAAACAGTGTTGAGCAGAAGCTCCTTCCCCATATGCCTCCATTGAGCACCGTGTCCAGAAAAGACCCAAACTGTTCTCCGTGCCGGGTCGCTGGATACTCCTACGATGTTGCCTTTTGAAATATAATGGCCTATCGCGGCTTTATCTTCTGCAGCTGCTTGCAGGCAAGTAGTAGCTGCTTCATGGCCATCTGCGATAAAGGCTAGCCGATAGTCATGGTGTGCCCGGCACTGAGCCAGAGTGTTAGCGAACGCCTTGAGAATCACTGCTTTGCCCGCAGGAGATGATAGCCACTCTGCAAGGACTCTAACTTGCTTTGCGAGTCGTTTCTCTTGGGGCACTGAAACGAGGAAGAGCACACGGGTCGCATCTAGAGGACTGTTCACAGCGATAGCAGTAGCTATCTCGAAGTAACTGCCAATGAACTGCTCGACAATGGCATGTGATACAGTTCCGCCATAGCCATAGGAGCATACAGCAGCCCGCCGTGGTTGGTTCTTTTCTTCTGTCCATTCCGTCGTCTCATGCACGACCTTTAGTCCGGCTTCTGCCCAGTTGACTCGACTATTAAGCGTCTGCAAGTGTGTCTGGGGGCCAGTTCGCCCTTGTTCACAGCAAGGACTGCCTTGACCAGGCCAATTGCACCGGCCGCGGCCCCCCATGTGGCCGACATTGGGCTTGATTGAGCCGACATAAACGGGAGCGCTAGCGGACCGTCCCGCAGCGGTGCCATAAACGGCAGCAATTGCCGCCGAGCTTTGTGGCCGTGGCATGGGCTTCGATGTAAGAAATGCTCAGGGGATCTACTCCCGCTTGAGCTAATGCTTGCCTCGCCTCCAATTCTTGCGCTTTTGAATTAGGGGCCATGATACCGTTGGTCTTTCCGTCCTGCGCGACTGCAGAGCCCTTCAAGATGGCCTTGATATTGTCGCCGTCAGCGATGGCCCGGCTGAGACGCTTGAGGATGATGACCGCCCCGCCCTCTCCTGGCCATAGCCGTTTGTATCATCGTCAAACGACTTGCACACTCCCTCAGGATGTAACGCGCCAGCCTTGCCCAGCATCAGCGTAATTGCCGGCGCTAGAAGGACATTTTCACCTCCGACAATGGCGACGTCGGATTGGAGATTTTGAATTGCCCGGCAGCCCAAGTGAACTGCAACCAGCGATGATGCACATGCAGCGTCCACGACCGTACTAGGACCCATGAAATCTAGATGATATGAAACGCGATTCGCCACACCTTGAGGCGCTGAGCCAATCCCCCTCCAAGGCTCTATACTGGGTAAGTCTTTGAGAAGCAGACGGGAGTCGACGCCGATAAAATCGGCTGTGTTAGAGCCGACAAGGCTCTTGGGATTGAGCACAGCATCCTCGAGGGCGTCCCAACTAAGTTCGAGGCCCAAACGTTGGTGCGGATCCATCTGCTCTACTTCTTTAGGGGATATGCTGAAAAAGGCTGCATCAAAATCTTCGACGTTATGGATGAAGTAGTCTCTGGAGATTGCATTGGATATTCTCTGTGCAATGCGGAGTCACGTCGGAGCCACGGTTCCAATCGCTGCCGGGACACTTCGCCAGAGCCATCTTGCTTAGCCAGCAGAAACTGCCACAACTTCTCCGGCGAAGTATTGCTGCCTGCGGTTCTGCAAGCCATCCCAACAATAGCGATGCCTTCTGACATCTCAAAGACTTGGCTATCATTCGTCTCAAGGAAAGTCTTCATCTTATCAAGGCTGGTCATCACTTTGAACGTCTGTGTAATGTTTTCTGAATGGTAATAGAACGACAATCTGGGCGCACTAGGCACATAAATAAGATATGTTTCAACTGTTCAACGTATTGGAAATTCGTCGTCTCGGCTAAGTGTGTATAGTGAATAGTATCTATAACAGTCATAGCTATGTAAGAACCCCAACTCGATAAAGTCGATGTGGTATTATGTTAGTACACATAGTGCTTATTCATTGGTTAATCGCGGACTGTTTAACCTTTCGAGTTATTACTACCGGAAAAATCGCGCCATGGGACGGATGCCATACATCCACAATTGACGAATATTACTGTATTTACTTTTATATGCAGTATGTAGGGTGGTATCAAGAGCCTAATGGGGTGATCACAAGGGAGGTCAATGTAAAATTGCTCCAGGAAGATGAAGTCTTATCGGCAAAGTAGCTTTGGAGGTGTACTGGGTTTCATTCAATGCAATATACGTCAGTAACAATGAATAAAGGAGTGGCCTATCAAGTATCGTGTAACAATGCTGTGTACCTAATGACAAAATCAAGATGTTCAGACATCTTTGAAGCTAAGCAGGGTAAAACACTTATCGCTTCCAGCCGATTATTTCCAATTTACAAAAGTCTATTTCACGTTATGTAGTTATTGCCGCCCTCTACATAACTAGGACTTAACAAGTATCAAGATATTTGCCGCCCTTGTTTTCCACGTTTGCGAAAATGCCGGTTCAGGCGCTCATGGCGTCCCCCTGCGTAGGAGTTATTCAATGAAGTGGTCAGGCGACAGTCGGTCTTTCACAACCAGACTAATGGTCTTCAGTATATCTGCCTCGATTTAAAGCCTGGATGATACGCTTATTTAGAATATACCAGAAGATAAATGATGTTATATATCGATAATTTGCAAGCTCAATCTTTGTCACGTTGTTATATCTGTTCTTGCGTTGCATGGCAACAGCTGGTAAGTAACAATATTCATGGCATTTAATTAGAAGTTTTATCTTCTTCAGAAGAAGATTACTTACTAGTAATTCTCATAGGCCTATCTGACGTACACTTAATATAAACCATGTCATGGACGGGCCATCAATGATATTGGTTATAGCGTGAAGATTAATTACACATATGCTTACACAACTGCTAAAAAGTGCTCATTATTAACTGGCGTCTTTAAAATCTAGACCTGCGTGCCGGGTCTGGCGCTAACAAAAACATATCAGCAAGCTCTGGAACTCCTCCAGAAACAGCAGTTCTCACTAAACCAGATTTCCCCACCACTGATAAATGCTCCGCAATTTGCACAACAATTCTAGAATCCCAAAGTCCTTCTTTCCAGGTTATAGAACGAAGCAAGTCGAGAGATTGCTGTCGTATAAATACGCAAGACGTGGTTGTAGCTGCAAAATATAAAGGAGCAATTATGCCTGTGTCAACTAAGAACGTCGATTTGGGATTAGATGATGCTAGTATCAGATTTTTCGACAACTCGTTGATTCTAGTGCATTGTGCGTTGGAGGATGATGATACAGAGCTGATATCACCTTGGAGATCAAGCATAAGAGATGTTGTCTGATAATGTAATTCTAGCAGTAGCAGCAGCTTTAAATCTCTTGCATTCATGTTGTTTGCTTCATGCTCAGAGAAGTCATCAAAAGCCTTTTTCCATTGGGCAAATCGTGCTTTTATTCCCTGGAGTAAGACCTGCCTCGAAGTCGCACAATTGCTAAATCCTGCCCACGGCAGCTGCATTGTTGAAGATTTTGTCGTAAGGATGTAGAATAGCCGAATCTCAATTTTGTCTAGTGATAATTGGGCACTGCGAAGACTAGAAAATAACATTGATGAGCCAGAATTGTTATCTAGTAATTCAACGTCGACAGTAGCGGCCAAATATGGCTGCCGAGAGTTCAAAAAGGTTGTAGCCTGCATATCCAAGCGTCGAAGCATCTCTGATATGTCTTCTCGAGTCTGGCAGCTTTCAAAAGACTTGACTTCTTTTGTTCGCCAATCATTCATGATGCTGAGGCCGTTTTGTAGGTGAAAGAGCGCCATTTTATGATCATCTCGCGCACTCTCAAAGGCGATAAAAAGTATGCACGAGGTCAAAGCAAATTCGATAGGATGGGAAGATGGAGCCTGTCGTAAGTGCTTGATAGACCTGTTATAGTGCTGAAGGGCGAGTTTATCGGGAGCCAGCTCGCCTTTAGAGCTACCGTCGAGATGCTCATAAAGCGCGCTAAGAGCAAGCACTGCATGGAGCACGGCTGGCGAAGCCTCGCTGAGTTGGAGGACTGTCTCGTTCCAAAATCTGGACTGGTTGTCAAACCCTGTCAGATAAAGCAAGGCATGATGGCGAAAATATTCAAAATGCCGATATTCATCTTTCGTTTGAAACGTTCTAGATGATATAGGAGATAGATGATCCGCACGATGGTCTTGGTGATTGAGCAGAGGCTTGCTGTAACCGAACCCTTCACAGAGGCGCCCAGTTTTTCCGCATCGCACACAAATCGGCTTCGTTTCGTCACACTTCACACGTCGAACTCTACGTGAAGCTTAGGTTAGTACTGCTTTGTCGCCTGGAAGATGAAAATCGCTAAACGCATACTTGCATGTATAGCAGCCCCTCCTAGATTTGGAACTCTTCGCTCGACGTTTCTTGACAGTCGCTGGCTCCTTTTTACTCATGCTGTTTCGCGGTCCAAATAGTTTTGGTATTTACAGAGTAGAGTCTTTGGAAAGAAAACAACAGTATCTATTCACTATTACCCTAGAAAGCTGTTTCAGGGGCTTGTTTGATGCTTGCGTTGGTCATTCGTAATGTGGCGCAGCTCAGTACCTGCCAGTTAGGCCCAAAACTGATGCAAGTAACCACCAGCCTACCTACATGACGGGTGCTACTAGCTGTCACAGCCTCTGGCCAATTTAGTGTGGTAGAGTGCGGTCTTCAACACAAATTGAGCTATATTTTAACTATCTCTAGCTATTTGACAACCCATCGGAAAGACGTAGGGTATAATTTTATAAGATTGGATGTCGGTTATATTAGTTTTTCGAATAATTTGTACCATTTACGGCCGTTGCAAATGCACAATGAGCCGTTTGAATCCCTTACTAGGTCTTCAGTAAAAGACTGAAATAGTTGAAGCTTCCCTCCAGAGATAGCGCGGTTCCATAAACTCCACTACGGCGTCTAGATTCGCGGGCTCGTAAAATCTCATGCTAAACACGTGATTTTCTATCAAAAGGATCAAAGAGCCATCTCGCAAACGTTTAAAGCTAGCCTGGGGAACGCGTTCTCCGTATGTATCACATAGGTAGCCATAGGAGGAAGACAACATCAGCACTGAAATCTATGCTTCTTGCCCCCATAGAAAAGCTAGGTGTATTTATAGCATGTTAGCTTATAGAGCTCAGCCTCTAAGGGGGTCAAAGCATATATGTACTTGCGGCCGTATAGAAGGACGACTTACACGTGACGCTATGTCAATGAAGAGAGTGAGGAAACTGATATATAATGAGACGAATTAACACATAATCTATAGCTCAGTTGTACACCTTTTTTTCCTTCCTCAAAGTCACTACACTGTAACCATTGTGGATGGTCAAGGTGCAATACAATGAACTCGTCCGCCATTCAACAGCCGATGTCCTCGTTTGACAAGACTATCTTATACTCTTCTCCTATAGCCTTTATTCTATCATGCTTTTGGCTATTCCTCTGTGGAACGTTTGTCTTTGACATTATTCATTATTTTTTCCACAAGTTTTCCAAATCGAGGCATCGCTTATTACGACTAATTGGAAAATTGCACGAAGTACACCACTTCTACTTCCACAGGCGTCTTCAATTCAATGATTACTACCTCTGGCACAACATATGTTTTGAACTTCCACTGGAACTAGGGTGTCAGGCCTTTGGATCATGGCTAGGGTGGCTCATGTTAAAACGCATTGCCATACTTGGTTCTGGTGGCGTCTCTCAGCGTTCACTTCACGGTGTTCTAGCTATAGAGGTGGTCAAGATAGTTATCGTGGCTATGCTCAGTGGACGAGATTCTAACCACAAAACTTATGACCAAGTACCGAAAAACCCCTACAAGTTTATTGTTGGCCCAGAATACCACGCTCTCCATCATGTGGATCCAGCAGCATATATGGGCTCAACGTTTTATTTCTTTGACTGGCTTTTCGGTACGGCATACACACTGAAATCTCGACGGGTCACCATGACTGGCGCATCTGGAGCGTTTGGAAAAGCCTTAATAAGAGAACTACACACTGAGTCCGTAGCTTGCATTCAACAACTCAAATTTGGAGTGGATTGGACCTACACCAATTACGATGCAGCGATACCGACCCTTGCTAATACGGATATTTTGATCCTAGCTCATGGATCCAAGAGACACGATGTCTTGAAAGCCAATTGCGATTCGGCTGTTCAACTCATATCTTTGTTCAAACAACATCGGAAAAGCGACCCAAACCAGATTGCTATTCTTCCTGAAATTTGGTATGTCGGCAGCGAAACTGAGCTGCATCCGTCCTTTGGCATACAAAACCTCCAAGCGTACTCTACTTCTAAGCGCGCCTTTCTTCCGCATGCACGCAAATTATATGATGATGATTCAATTCTCTATCGCCATATTGTCCCAGTAGCCTTTCAATCAACTATGGGTTCGGCAATTCTCTCAGCGCAATGGGCAGCTCGAACCGCAATGTGGTGGATTCGCAGGGGTGCAAGGTTTGTCCCCGTAACCTACACAGGAATTGCATATCTACATTATATCAAATTTATGTTTTTCACTAAAAAGCTGTGATAAGAAATTTTGCTGTGGCGTCATATTGGGACAGCTGTGCTATTATACAAACTACTCCCTGCTTGTTATCAAGAGCTGCATGTCAAAGTAATTTACATTTATATAGTATTCTCTTCTTAAATAAACAGGCCATACAAGCCATCATGGGGGCCACGTAAACTAACAACGCGATATGCCGAGGAGAGCTAGTTATCACGTCAAAAGAATTTAGAATGTGCGCTCTATAGCTTAAATATGAGATATATAACACTAGTAAATCCCGAAAGAAAATCGAAACTATCTTATAATCCTCACAACATACGAAGCCAAATTCTAGTCAAGCTGCTCATGACTTTGTATTTGGGCAAGTCAGTTTCAACACTGACAGAATTTGTACACCCACTAACATTCCCCCAGACCTTACGCAAATGGTGTCAGAGCCAAAGCTAAAATCTTCTTCAGCACGGCTTTGACCATAATGATAAACAAATTATCTCAAATTATCTTGCAAGAGGAGGTATACTAGGACGCCGGGTGGTTTCAGTATTCTGGCGGGTGAAAAGTCATGTTATCCACCACATAGAGCCATTTTGCACCCTTTCATCGCTTGGTCTATCAAACACCTCTTCAAACCACAGCACGCTTTTGAGGAGCTGCATAACATCACTCCAGTCCGATATTCCGTGTCTTTTTAGAAACATGCCTAACGCGCGGAAAAACCAGGCCTCATCAGGTTCTCCCTGAAGCCCGAATCCTGCCATATAGAGCATCCATATTTGCAGTATCCAGGCGTCGCCGATCCAGTCACTCATAAGATACTCATAGTTTACCAGAAGGTGGTCTTTCAGTCTGCTGGCAAGGGTACCAGTGTATGACGGCATTATGCCCAGGAAACGCCGTACGTGATTAAGGTAAAGTAGCATTCCTAACCGGCAGGCCTCCTGCATGAGAGATCCCGCACACGCTGGGTCGGCGGGTGGCCGTCGTGAAAGAAACGTATGCGCCACTGGATTTACCCACGCACCACATCCATCCCTGCTGTGGATGCTCGGGTCTGGACTTTGATGCTGAGGTAGACTGAATGCATCAAAGGAGAAGATGGCTACAATCTCATACGCGTGTAACCACTCCCTGTGTTGGACCTGCGACGAATCGTTCCAGATACGGGTTACATGATCTATATGAGTGCGCGCGTTTGTGGAAGACAGAGGCAACACGGAAAACTTCTCCCATTGCCGTGGTGATGGATAGCTTGGAGGGTGGTCAAACACGCACGCACCACGAAGTTCACACCTTTTGCAGTTCAGTATAGCAACCCAAAGCCCATAGGGAAAGTGTTCTGCTCACCAACTAATTGTTATTCTCAGCTCCTCATTTTGTTCAAGAGCATCAATGCCTCCTGCTCGGTTAACTAAGTGCTGAAGACCTTGGTGATGTATAATCCACATGTCTCTATTGCCACAAAGCTCCTGCACCTGTACGGTCAGCCTCAGAGTTTCAAGACGCAAAAAGAAGGTCTTGGTTAGCTATCACACACCTCATACACTAATAGCCCAGTAATTGCACTTATAGCATATTCTAGATCCCTTTTGCCTGTGGCCTGTAGTGTTACTTGTAGAGAAGACAATGCTTTTACATGAAATCTCATAGAGTCATAAGTTTCAGCAGCTTTACAAGCTCCTGATCTCATTATTGTTTCGTGTAAAGCGGAATTGGCTAAAATCTGGAACATTGTTGACGCATATCGCATTCCGAGAGTGAACCAGGCGTCTCGCAAGTGTATTTGGGCTCCGCCATTCTCGCCATCACGAAACACTACCACCATCTTCAGTAAGGCTACAATTAGCTGCTGAAAGTGCAAAGAGAACTCACCATCTGACAGAAGCTGACGTCCTCTCGCGTCACTCTCGAGCTGCACCCCAATTGGTAGCTTCACGTGAGATGAAAAGTTAGAGAGAGTTGCCCAGCGCCGAGGAAGCCACCATGTCGGCTGGAATTGGTACAATTTCTTGGCTAGATCGAAATTGGCCTTCGTCGTCGGTTTTCGGCGTGATTTCCCCACATCTTTCATGGCGTGCTGCCGAATTACTCGTATCTGATCCGAAGAATTTAGGTGGTAGCCATTGGAAAAGTTGACAAATGCGAATTTGTTTCCATGTTCCATCCTCTCGCTGCGCATAGATGAAGCGCAACGTGTCTCATCATCCCATATCATAGCATGCGACATAGAAGCAGTTACCCGCAAAACCGCCTCATATTAAATGTGTCGATGCCACGAAAAGATTCTGAAAACATACCGGGTGTTATTCCAGATTAGTGGGAAACTAGATGTCTCAACTTCAACCTCCGGCATCTCACGTGCTTACTAATAAGAAGCTTGTTGGCAATGACAAATACCAACCGCGTATTCTAGTGTAAACCAATAAGATGTTCTGGTTTTGTTCATTATACGCCGGGGCATTCCTGTAAGAGTTTAGGTGTTGTTGGAAATACCCCGAGTGGAAGTCCTGGCTTCAGCTTCAGGAGCAGGGAAGTCAATATCTAGCCCTATGACGCCAACAAGATTGTGATCCTGCTACGTATGTTGCATGAAGCGGTTGGTGAGATTACTAACTTACCTACTTAGCTGACCAAGCTTAAGCCGTAGGTGAGACCCCAGTCAGGCACGACTTTAATTCATTTATAAGACTTGCAGCATAAAGTCGCGACAACAACATCGTTACCTAGCATAGGTAAATGTTTTTCCAACACTATCTCCAGTATGTAACATGCCAATAGAGCAGTGGTGAAAGCATATAAACCAGTGCAGGAAGCATATATCAGTCTCGTAGTACACAAACTCTTCCAGGCACTTAGAAATATTTTAAAATTCAGTTCGCTGGGCATGCGATTCGCTTTGGACTGGGCCGGTTATTTGTCGGATTGAACGAATAATCAAGCTTCGCTATTCCCGCGCGCGCAATGGATTAGCTCGTCGTGCATTTCTCAGCAGAGACTAGGCGAGCCGATTCCTCTGTAAGAGCACCAATTGCCGCTATGTAACATCCAGTAAATGAGCTGACGTGAGCTCTGCTGCTGTCAGAAGCTAAAATGCTAACTTATGAAGCCAGCAATTAGGCCTAGCTGCGCAAAGGTAGGCCGGCTTTGGGAATTGCTGTTGCTGAAACAGCTTTCTAATATTTATTTCTGCACTTGGTTCAGAGAACAGTACTTCTCTCACCAAAGCATATTAGTCCATTTCTAGATATCCTCATTCTTGATCCATAACAAGAGGTGTAACGGCTAGCAGCAACACTAAGCATGCCTACCGTTTCAACGGGGCCATCGGACAAGATCACGGTACACAGGCAGCGTGAGAAAAGCAAAAAGGGCTATTGAGCAGCGAGAACGCAGTTACACAACTAAGAACTTGCTTTTAGAGGGCAGAGCACCAGCGGTGTTGTATCAACTTTTAATTATATCTAGTTTAGAGGGCTGCCATTTGATGGTTGCCGTCGCCATGCTTTTACTACATCACCCATGGCCAGAGTATTGTTTATAAATACATCTTCAGAGGACTCTCCGCGGAACGGTAATATCCTCAGATCAAGTATCTATTCCCAATAGGTTGCGATTTCTCTTAAGTCGTGCAAAAGTGCTGGAGGATTATCGAGGCCCGGAAAGTGGCCACCAAAATCATGATCTACATGGTCATCAGCCATAGTCTTTGCTACTAACTTAGGCAGGGGATTCACGCACTGTTATACATCACCAAATTGCCGACCTTTGCGACCACAGGTTCAGGCCAAAAGCCGACATTGTACTTGAACGCACTGAAGAGTAAAGGCGCGTCCGTATGCGCTTTTGTATATGATGTTTTGAAACCATCTGAGTTTTGGAAGTAGATGTATACCGATGAGAGAAACGTTCGTGTCAAGTAGTACAAGGACACAGCCAACAAAATCTCGTTGTGGTTTAGGACAGACGGACTAGTGCCCGCCTTTGGATCTGACCCTGTATCAAAAGTCAGTTTGTTCGCGCGCAAAGGGTACTGTTTGTGGCCGCGGTGTCACTTACATGAAATGTACTTCTCACCAATCCACGCCAACTGGCCTACAGGATTATCCAAAAGAGCCAGACCGATTGTATTGGGCTAAAACACATCAGCGTTTCGTCTTTATCTTCAAGATGACTTGCCCGCTACCTTTGTAGTCTGCTCTAAGAAGTAGGCGTTTCCGGAAGTAGCCCAGTCCATAGACCTTTGCTCTTCAAATTGCTGCAATGGAGATGATAAGGTGATATTCAGTGCGGCCAAGTCCGCCGCGGAGCTAGGGGCAGAAAATGGGAGGAACGCAAGATGCGCAGCTCGCACTGACGTGTTGAAATTGTCATAGAGACTGTAGGTCGGCGCACAACCCCAATCTGTTCCAAAGGTGGCAAATTGATCATAACCCAGCACTTCGCGCATCAAAGTGTTGAATACACGCGCTGTATCGTCTGTAGTCCAGTTTGCAGGTGGTTGCGATGAGAAGGCGAACCCTGGCAGCGAGGGAATAACCACATGAAATGAGACTGGTTGCCCCTTGGATGTTTTGCTTTTTTCTGTAAGATTATTAACAATAGGCAAGAATTCTAAGAATGATCCCGGCCAGCCATGATTAAGTAAAAGGGGGATTGAGCTTTTGTCAGAAGCTCGCTGATGAATGTAGTGAATAGTCAACCCTTCAATTTCGACAGTGAAATGGTTGTATCTGGTTTACATTAGCCCACTGCAACAACTGAAGCGTTATTTACATTCTCACTTGTTCAAAGCCGCTTCCTCATGATCCCAATTAAAATTTTCCAACCATTGAGTGCGTAGACTCTCTAACACATCGAGAGCAATGCCACTTGAATTGCCGAGTCCGGAGAACTCTGAACTAGACGGTAGGCGTGTCTCTCTAACCAGATCCATCATTCTCGGAACTCCAGCCGAGAGATCGACGGTGAATTTCTGAGGAGAAAAGCCCTTGTGCACAAGGCCATTACCCAGAACGATGCTCACGCTGGCGAGGAGAAATGCAAACTGTTTCTCCAACATTTTCGTCCGAATGATTCGTTTTGCGTTGAAGATCCAGAATTGGTTTACGAAGATGGATGTGGGCAAGGATGCTGAAAGGTGTTATTGTTGACTGCGATATCATGCTCGAATCCTGTGCTTTGGGTCATCACTACAATATATATAATGCTAGACACACCTGCTCTAGACTCTTTCCGACCTGAAATTGATTACAGTATCCTATGGTAACATAAGAGCTACTGAAGTTGATTACAACATCTATGGTAATATCAGAGTTACAGGCTTCTTAATGCAACTTAGGTGGGACCGCGCTGGGACCACATTCCTGGATCGGCTTAGAGCGATCTATCGCGCCTTTTTTGTTGCCTAGCCCACTAGGGACATGCTGATAAAGATTTAGGATTTCGCCGAGATTGCTCATTGCCACAACTACTACGTATGCGAAAAAAATGCTTGAACTAGCATCTTCGCATTTTACCACTTAGTAATAAGCCTTGAGTCGGTGCGGGAAGCGTAGATAGAAGTTGGAAATGTCGGTAGCGTTGTACAGCAAACAGCGGCGTAGCCAAACACATACTCACCTGGAAAAGCCTCATTTGGTTAGACCCTGTTATCATGTTGATTGTCTCCTTCATGCGGGCCAATTTTGTATTTCGTCGATGCGCTGTTGAAGTACCCTAAATGTCAATGCGTTGAGCATCTGTAGGCGTAGCACTTATAAGGCGTCATTGGATGTTATGTCTCGCTGCTTCATCAAAATCCTCAAGTGATATGTGCTTAGAACCGGCAGTGCGAAGTATAACGGTCTCTTTGAAAGACTACTATCTCAGACCGCCAATTGTATGCGATGGAAAGCTGTTCAGAAGACTAGATGCCGTGCAACTGGCCTGGCTGTTTGTAATGTCGTCCGGGATTGCGTACAAAGTCGGACCGATTCTTTCAAGCAATTAGACATAACACTATTTTTCTGTTTGTAGTCTTTCCAATCAGGCCGATAGTCATAATCATGGCTTGCAACCGCGAGCGACTGACAGAGGTTGTAAATACGCCGAATCTAATGGCATTCTTCTTGCTACACAGACAAGAAGTCCAGCGTTTACGATTAACTCACGTGGGAACTTTACAGATCAATCAAGTAGTCTCCGAAAGATGTATGATTGTAAGCTAATTTGAATCAGCAAGAGTCAAGCCAGCGCTGGCACGGCTGCCGCCTATGTTGTGATTTAATCATTTTCAGATGCTGAAATGGGAGTGCGGAAGCAATATAGCTTACAATTATAAATGACGATGATGGGCTAAGAAGCACCCTAGCAGCTTTACTTGTACCTTACATTACGACCCCAATGTTCTCAATCGACCGCCACTCGTGAAAGATGACTGCTCCCCAGCACATGTATTCATTGTCTTATTTTCATCAAGTAAAACCAAATACTTCCGTGTTCGCCCAATCCGTCGACAAGAGGCCGTATTCGTCAGTGATGTTTGTGCTTTCTGCTTTGCTACTGCAGTGATTGTTATGAGTCTCGTTCTGGTCTGTTTGCCGTCCATACAAACTTTTTCGTCACCCAGAATTGTGAGGATGCAGTTTCTAGTTTATCTCGTCCAACGCAATTTCTCCTTGAAAGACAAAGGAAAGCCTACACATTTTTGTCTGATCATATTTGGTCATGTACTGCTCTGACTGAGTTCAATTGTCCCTAGTCCAAAACAAGGCTCATGATGGACATAAACAGATTCATCGCAAAGAACAATGTGGCAAAGATTAGGGAATGGGATAGTAGTAGAGTCTGCGTAAGCTACCCACCTACGTAGCGATTTGTCGCAATGATAAAGGGTTGTCTGGCGGAACGCTATTCATAAAGCGGGAGTAGGCGATCCCAGGCCCCTAAAAAAGCGCTTCAGTCTGAGAACCAAAAAAATGCAAAGCAACACGATTCCGGATGTCAACGTCTTTTCTCCCGCATTTTCTAACAGCCAAGGCCCCTCATATAGAAGGACCTAAGTATCACAAGAAAGAAGTATGAGCCCTCAGCGCTACTATCTACAGCGCCTTGCAAATGGAGATATTTTTAGAGCTGTGAAAGCGGATATGCAGCCAACGATTCTGCAAAAAAAAGGGAGTTGATATTATGCAGACGATATTTATTTTCCAACACGCAGTTGGAAATATCAATACGCCCAAAGAAAAACTTAATTTTTTAAGTAAAAGTACAGGTAAAAGTACAGGTAAAAGTACAGGTAAAAGTACAGGTAGATATATAACAGTGTCAATACTATCCACCGGTCAAACGCAATGGATTAAATATTTGAGTCAAACGCTGCATCGACCATGTACAATGATAGGCGTAGCACCTAGAATATAAGCGTGGATGTATATTCGGCTTCTGACGAATGACCGTATTTCCTCCATGCGGTATACATACATGCTCGTTAAGACAATCTGCATTATCATCGTGCTTGGATATCAACACATGACTATACGATCTATCTATGGTTCCATAGTCTCAAGAAGATCATTATCAACAATATTTGCAAATCCGAAAACATAACTAGTTAGACTGTACTTCTATGCATTAGGAAACAACTTGCAGTCTGCAAACTGACCTTAAGACCGCCCCATTGGCTGGTCAGTTCTCATGGTATAAGGATTTCGGCAACCCTTTCGTTGATAATAGTATTTAGCTCCCAGAATATTTATCCGTCAGCGGGTTATTTATCCAATTGGTAGGGTAAAGTTGTTCAGCTAGATCAGCAGCTAATCATGTATCGCAGGCTAAATTGGTAACGAATGAGACGGGGGATTGCAATGCTCACAATGCAACCCTATGAGAATCGGGTTTGGGGTAGCAGAGTGTGGGGTTATACAGGTAAAGAGCATTGCGTGCAAGAATTATGAATATATTTAACGTCATGGTGCCGCTAGACTTTGGCATTTCTTCATATCTAGGCAGATCAATCACGTTAACCAAGCACCTGTCTCCTTCCCAATTTCTACAGATGTCTCAAGGCGCAGAAAAGGAGGTGGAGGTCAATTATGCGCCGCACGCTGAAGCAGCAGATAATTGGGCCAACCTCGCCGAAGATGCTCGCCATGCGACAGAAGAAGAACATAGCTTGACTTTCTTCAAGGCAGTCAAGCTGTACCCGCAAGCGTGCATGTGGTCCATGGTTGTCTCGATTGTTGTCATTATGGATGGATACGACACGGCTCTAATTGGCTCTCTTTTCGCGTATCCTGCTTTTCAACAGCAGTTTGGCCATTCTCAAGGACATGGCAAGTACCAGTTGGAGGCAAAGTGGCAGACGGCTTTAGGATTAGCTAGTCCTCTGGGTAATATTGTTGGCATTTATCTCAACGGACTTATTACCGAATGGCTTGGCCACAAGAAAGCAGTCTTGGGAACTCTTGTGTTTCTCAGTGGTGTTCTATTTATCCCCTTTTTTTCGAAGACCATCGAGGTCCTTTTTGCCGGCGAGTTACTGTGCGGCTTGGCATGGGGCGCTTTCACCACTTTGGCCCCAGCATACGCCTCTGAGGTTGCTCCAGTAGCCCTTCGCGCATATCTCGAGACCTTCGTTGTCCTTTGCTGGGGTATTGGCCAGTTTGTTTCGTACGGCGTTCTCTACGGCTTGGTCAACCGCACCGATGAATGGTCTTGGAGAATCCCGCTGGGTGTCCAGTGGGTTTGGCCTGTTATTGTTATTCCCCTGCTCTTATTTGCCCCTGAGTCTCCATGGTGGCTTGTTCGTAAAGGCCGTATCGACAAAGCAGAGCAGTCTATGAAGCGACTGTCCTCCAAGAAATCGCAAAACAGCAAGCAATCGGTTGCTTTAATGGTTCAAACTACCAACTTAGAGGCGGCCATTACGGAAGGTGCCTCATACAGGGATTGCTTTCGCGGAACGAATCTGTGGCGTACTGAAATCGGATGCGTCGCTTGGGCGTCCCAGGTTCTCTGTGGATTTGCCATAGCCAACTACTCGTCCTACTTTTACGAACAGGCTGGGTTGCCGGCGACAAACGCTTATAAAATGACGATTGGACAAGGAGGCATTCATTTCTTGTGCACTCTGCTCTCGTTATTTGTGACTGCACGGTTTGGTCGACGTGGGATCATGCTCTGTGGATATGCCGGCATGTCTTGTGCTATGTTTACTCTTGGATTCCTATCACTTGCTCGCCAGACCACAGGCCTGGGCTATGGACAGGCTATCATGTATCTCGTCTGGTACGTCATCTACCAGTTGACGATTGGTCCGACCGCCTACATCGTTGTTGGCGAGATATCTTCCACCCGCCTTCGATCTAAGAGCATTTCTCTAGCTCGTAACGCATACAATGTTGCGAATGTGTTTAGCGCCACTGTGGCTCCTTATACTCTAAATCCCACCGCGGGAAATCTGAAGGGCAAAACTGCCTTCTTGGCCGCCGCTTTCTCACTGCTTTGTTTGTTGTGGGGTTACTTCCGCCTCCCAGAAAGCAAAGACAGGACTTTCGAAGAGCTAGACCTCTTATTTTCCAAGAATCTGAAGGCAAGTGAGTTCAGAGATGCATCTGTCGACGATATGGATATGCCAGAATTCATTAAGCAGCAATAAATTCACTTCGTGACACACTTGCACTCTTCTAGCTATTCTTTAAACATCTTTAACGAATAGAAGTATGAGCTTTAATTAGATACAGTATAATTCTGCTGTTCCAACTCCTGCTACGTTGTCTCGTGCCAATGAATATGTAAGAGGCTTGTCAATCTTTCCCTAGCAATGGTGTTTGAATCAAGACTAAAGAATTCTTCTAGGATTAGTATCTTTACTGAAATTACAAACGGGCGGTAAATTTCGTTTGGACGTATGATGTGTATCTAGTACCAAGAGCTATATAAATTATATATCATATAGAAAACCGATTATGCTATGTGAAGATGCTCTTGTCTTACTGTCAAAACAAAGTAGCTTCTTGTGAAAATAAAATCACAGCTAAAGAGAAAGAATTTCACATGGGGGCTAAAACCCATATAGAAGTACAACTCAACATAGAACGTGAAATCCATTAGTATACATGCTCCACGCTTTATACAGGCAACTTGCGACTTGCCCTGTAAAGACCATGATGAACCTTTTCTATTCCATAATATCACAACTCGAAAGAGGATTGCACGCTGGCGAATAAATGTCATAAATAATTTGTTGAGCGCATTTTGCCGGTCCATCAATTGGCAGTTTTGGTTATGCTGTATTTTACGATAAGAAAATACCCACCCTTCTTGTTAAACGTTGGCACCTGCGGAGAAACGGCACAACTAGTGGAATGGGAACAGCGTTAGCCGCTGGAAATATCCCCGCGGAGATCCCACACGCTGGTAGCATTCAGTGAGGGGAAGTTAAGGCATTGAAGATGTTTCGCAGTTGATATCATTGGCGCTGATTGAGCAAACTTGCAGCTATGAGTTTTTAACCTTAGCTTATAGAAATATGGGAGGCACACTTTTAGAGCGGCTTGGATAAATTATTCAAGTCAGAGGCGCTTATGCTATGATCAGCAGGCTAAGCGTGGCTACAAGAGCCCACAAGCTCTTGTGAGAGCAAAAGAATTAGACAACGTACGTACAACCAACGATAGTAAGATACCATAGCTGGCATCTGATTAACAATCTTACGCATCACAATACACCCTACCTTCGCTGTTGTAGACCAGGAGGAAACACCTCCCATATAGATACAGATTTCCGCATTACCCAAGATAGATCGTTGGTTTGTGGGGCTTACAGAGGATTTTCTGGACTGGTTTGTCCCAGCTCGCAAGATAATGGCGGTAAAACTTTCGGATAGCGAAGAACAGTTTCATATCTGGCTAATGTTATTTCCAGGTGTCTAATACTTTTGAAATGGCCCGCAGACAGCTAGAGATTTTGTGATGGTGGAGTTCAGTTGATGGTGTTAAATCTGTTTGGAGAACAGTAGCTCAATAGACGAGCTTCGCTGAAAGTCAGTCACAGACACCCTGTGACTATTGTCAGCCAACCACGCTTGTGCGCTCCGTTTCTTTTCATTTGGGAGTAGAAATACTAGCAAACTGTAACAACATGCCGCTTTTGATAGAAATGACGATAGCGAGCTATCAGTATTACATAGTGCTGTGCTAAATACATTAAGTAGGTGGTTTGGGGAGGGATCAATGAGTCAAGCGCACAGGGTGAAAGTATAGCAAATGCTAGAGGGGTTAGGCATTGTCACGAAATCGACTTGCAGACCAATTCCGACTGATCTCAAAGCCTTCGCAGAAAGAACATGTAAAGAGTCTAGCATCGACAAATCGCGTTGCATGTCCGCCCATGCCCACATTGAATAGATATAATTTGCTTGCAAATTTTGACGCATATCACAGCAAATAATGCTTAGTCTAAATGTGTGCGCTTGGCTATGTCGCATGGGTCCTGTGCGTTGAGGCATCTGCGAGTAAGTAGCTAAATCTGCTGGAACGAGAAATTTAGCATCGGTAACAACTCGACATTTCGTGACATTTAGATTCCAGAAATGATGTAACATCTTCCTCATATAGCAAGAACCCATTATACTAAAAAGAGAACTGAGGCGTACTATGACTTTAAGCAATTCAAACTCTGTTAGAATAAATGTTTCCTGTAGGCTCATTTAAATTATATACTGTCTTTCCCTAAAACTTTAGTACACATGCCTGCGCCTGGTAACTTGAAGGTAGGATCAGAGGAATACATGGTTCATGGAACCAGGGTAAACACAGCACAATGAATGTTTCAATTAACTTCCCACCTACTATATCAAATAAAGTCAAATACTTTCAGTTACGATATTCTGTTAACCTAGTTCTAAAGGCCAGTAGATAAGCTTTATCTTTTATGGGCATCAAGCCACACAAGGATCTGCTGGAGAGAATCCTCCCGGTCCGAGTCATTGAGGAGCTCGTGAAGGCCGGAATCCAAAAGCCATAGCGTCTTATCTTTAGAATCGATACCTTTAACAAAATCCTCACTCCCCTTAGGATCAGCGCTCTTATCAGCAGTACCATGCATAACTAGCGTGGGGACATGCCATTCTTTGAGTCCTTGGTTTATAGCCTGCGCTGTGCGGAGAGCAGAGGCAGCCAGGAGAAAAGGCATCTGTCTCTTCACCATTAGCGGGTCAGCCTCTGCCGGCTGTAGCAGTTCAGGTTGGCGTGATAAAGCAGAAGGGGGTGACCGTGGCATCGGAAGTGACCAGTGTGGCACGATGGTGGCGCCCGCACTGAGCGCCCATCTTACCAATGTCGAAACTGGACCTGGAAACGGAGGGCTGGTCAAGATGACTCCATCCACCAGAGATGGATCCGTGATGATGCTGCCTGCCGTGACAATAGCACCTAAGGAGTGGCCGAGCAAGAATAGAGGTACATTCTCTCTCTCTGCCTCTCGCCGGAGCTCTAGATGGTCATGGATAGCCCTTTCAACGTCCACGGCGCCGCGAACGCCAGGCGACCGTCCGTGACCCCACATGTCGAATGCCCTGACTTCGAGGCCGCGTTTGCCTAGCCGCTGGATGAGAGCACAGTGTCCATCTACATAGCGCTCTGCATGCTCACCATATCCGTGCTGTAGGATAATGATGGCTCGAAGTGGTGGTTTAGCCGGCCATGTGTGGAGGACTACACCGGACTGAAGATTGCTGGTGTCATGTTCAATCTTGTATTGAATTGACTCGTCAGACATGGAAACGCAGAAGATTTCTAGACTGTAGTCGAGGGTGACGAGGGTGAGTAGTGACAGGGAAGATATGAGGAATAACTTATCCACAGGAATTTACGGCAATGACTAACATAACTGTGATCATGGATTAGTCATTATCCCCCGGCCCTTAGAAACAGCTGCTGATACTTTATCAATAGCTTTGAATAAATTCTATGCGTTTTTATAAATGAAAAAGATTTTAAATACCTTCTTCTGCAACTCAAGCTCTGCAGCCAAGAGCCTCGGAGAAGCCAATGCTACTAATAAGCAGTAGAGGCATCGATTTTAATGTTCGCTGCTTAAATTGTTAGCGCAGTCGACGCTACGAGCTACAGCAAAAGTGACTGCTTCTATATCTTGTCTGCATCAAGTAACTGCCAAGAGATGTCTCCTCTTCAATTTACTGAGTATAAAGAACTTCAACTTACTTCGAGAATAAAGATTCTTGCATGTTTCTGCCCCAGCTTGTTTTAAAGTCACTCTAGATGAAATAGGAATCTCAGAAGACACAGCGCCTGCCGTATCCCCAAGGCCATGACCAGAACATTAGCCAGCCAGTACTTCTTTGCCACAGCGCTGAGCTCAGCATGATAGCTTGAGCAGTCTATTGTCAGTGACCTTCAAACCCGATTTTTGCTCTACAGGACACATTGTTTGCTCCACTCCTCCTACGTCCATCTTTCTTGATTGTCATTACCCCGCATATAAAGCAAAGCTTTGCACGATGGGTATCTCAGGCTGAAGTGAATTTACCGTAGAATGAATGGCAGCCGCTATTGTCGATTATGCGTTGGATAAATATGAGAAGTCTTACTTGAAGGTAGTCGCAGGTAACGCGATCTTGGGTGTTTCATAGCTCTCAAAAAGTCACCACAGAATCGATTTACCTATTGCTCCCCCTGTTGTACACATTCGCTTCTAAAGCCTGTAGTAATCCAAATTTCTAGTCTTGTTACTTTTGCGCCTCGTGTTCTTGAGTATGCTTCCTAATGAGACAGGCCTCGACGGCTGGCTGCGATATGCCGCACTTCCTGATGAGTTTGTCAGCCTACGCCCACGATATTCGACAATCATTCCTCTTGCGGACAATCAAAACAGTCCTATATTCACTGCCGCGAGAGAATTGCAACTCGGTCTCTCCAAGATCTTGGGTCAGAACATTAGTCTTGAAACAAAGCTTTTGGGATCCGCAGCCAACTCCTCTATTATTGTAGGAACTGTCAAAACGTTCTTATCTACTAACCAGGATATTCATGGCGCCCTGTCTCTCAAAGAGGATGGATACTGTCTTGTCTGCAAGGATGGGAGGGCTGCAGAAATAATCGGCCAAAATGACCGAGGTGCACTATACGGTGCATTTGAATTCCTCAGACTGCTATCGCAGAATCAGCCACTGCCCGAGATGCGCATATCTAACCCCAGTGCTCCAATTCGGTGGGTAAACCAGTGGGATAATCTCGACGGCAGTATTGAAAGGGGATATGCCGGCCCTTCGATTTTTTTCGCAGGCGGATATGTGCTCGATGATCTGGCCCGTGTTCAACAATATGCGCGGCTGCTGGCGTCGGTCGGATTGAACGGTCTGATTGTGAATAACGTCAACTCCAATTACAATCTTCTTAATCCCACTAATATGCAAGGTCTGGCTCGGATTGCCGACATCATGAGACCGTGGGGAGTTCGAATTGGTATTTCTTTGTATTTCGATACCCCAAAGGACCTCGGAGGTTTGCAAACATCTGATCCCTTAGATCGCGACGTCATTGCTTGGTGGGAGGGCATTACTTCTGAGCTTTATCGTCATGTCCCAGACATGTTGGGGTACCTGATCAAGGCAAACTCTGAAGGACAACCGGGCCCATTGACCTATGGTCGTACACTTGCCGATGGTGCCAATCTGTTTGCAAGAGCCCTGCGGCCTCACGGCGATGGCGTCGTCGTATATCGCGCCTTTGTCTACAATCACCACCTCGATGAGTCGGACTGGAAGAATGATAGGGCAAACGCGGCCGTTGAGTACTTTGATGGGCTGGATACTCAATTCGAAGATAATGTCATTGTCCAGATCAAGTACGGCCCCATCGATTTTCAGATTCGGGAGCCGCCGTCACCCCTCCTTGCTCACCTACGAAAAACGCCAATTATTCTTGAATTACAGGTTACACAAGAGTATCTTGGCCAGCAAGATCACGTCGTATATTTACCACCACTTTGGAAGACCATTTTCAATTTTGATCTCCTTGTAGACGGTCAGCAATCGCTGGTCCGAGACATAGTCTCTGGCCAACGGTTCAATTGGAGCAGAAGTGGCTACGCGGCAGTCGTTAATGTAGGAAACGACCCTTCATGGCTAGGAAGTCATCTTGCTATGGCCAACCTATATGCATACGGATTGTGCACTTGGGACCCTCAACAGAGTGAGGTGGACATAATCCAAGGCTGGGCACAATTGACCTTTGGCTTAAACAAAACTGTCGTGGATACTATTACGAATATCTCTATGGCTTCTTGGTCTACATATGAAGACTACAGTGGTAATCTTGGCATACAAACTTTGTGCGATATCGTCACACATTGCCATTATGGCCCCTCCCCAGCTGCTCAGGATGGTAATGGATGGGGTCAGTGGACTCGCGCAGATGCACATTCGATTGGAATGGATCGTACTACTGCCACGGGGACAGGAAATGCAGGACAATATCCGCAAATGGTTGCCGATAGGTTTGAGTGCATTGACACCACTCCTGACGAGCTTCTCTTGTGGTTCCACCATGTTCCATACACTCATCGTCTCAAGTCTGGCAAGACAGTTATTCAGCACTTCTACGACGCCCATTACGCCGGAGCTCTTGTTGCTCAGACATTTCCACAGCAGTGGGAAACTCTGCGTGGATTGATAGACGATGATCGATTTCATCATATTGCTTTTCGTCTCCAGTACCAAGCGGGTCATGCTCTGGTCTGGCGAGACTCCATCAACAATTTCTATTACGCCAAATGTGGAGTTAAAGACGAACACAACCGTGTTGGTAACCATGCATGGAGAATTGAAGCCGAAGATATGATACTGCAAGGATACAAAGTAGTTTCTGTCACGCCATTCGAGGCTGCATCTGGAGGAAAGGCCATCGCAACCATCCCGGGCGCGGGTGTAGGCACTGCAACGTGTACCGTTGCTTTTCCTTCTGGGACTTATAACGTCGCGATTAACTACTACGATCATCTGGGTGGCAGATCACAGTATCAAGTCTTCTTTAATGGAAGACAAATTGGTGCTTGGGCGGGGGATCTTCAAGAGAAACTAAGTCATGACTTCTCGGATCGCATTGATGGTCATTCTGCGACTCGAATCACTTTCAATGGTGTAGAAGTTAAAGAGGGTGATTCCCTTAAGATAACTGGCAGGCCTGATGGGAACGAGCTCGCTCCGATAGACTATGTTTCATTCTTGCCGCAAGGTGTTGTGGACTAGATTTAATAAAAATAGCTCAGCTGGTTTCGACTCTCGCTCCCAAAACTAGTACACATATAGCTTATCTAGGATAGATTCTCAAAAACATGAATAGGAAAATAGTCTGCCATAGCATAAAATGCACTTTGATTAGGGTGTAATCCGTCTCCTGAGTCATACTCTCTCTTCAGCAGCGAATGATCAGCTGGGTCCCGCAAGATCTCATCAAAGTCAACCACAGCATCGAAGATGCCGCTCGTGCGAATCCAGTTGTTGATGACCTGTCTCGTAGACTCCCGAACTGGATCACAATAAGATGTGGCGGGGGCGTTCTCATGCTCTTTGATGTCTAGCGGCAGGTTGAACGGTGTTAAAGTTGCTGCAAAGACCGCAACGCCATGCGCTCTCAGCCGGGTAGCAACTTGTTTATACGCTGCAACTAGCCGATTGCTCAAGTTCTCTTGGCTATAAGAGTCGGCGGGTGCCATGCCAATATCGTTAACACCTTCAAATAATAGAACAGAGCTGACACCGGAAAGAGATATAATATCCCTATCTAGCCTGCTCAACACGCTGGGTCCAAGTCCATAATCCATCATGCGGTTGCCTCCGGCCGCTTGATTCACGATGGCAAGGGAAGTATATATCTTGGATGTACTAGCTTGCAGTCGTCTAAATAGAATATCTGGCCATCTTCACGTATAGTCAGCTCGCATTTAACTAGTCTTGGTTGAACAATATCCACGCACCTGGTGTCGCCATTGGTAAGGCTACATCTGCCGTCCGTAATGCTATCTCCAATGATAGCAAAGGCTCGCGTATCCCGCGGCGCAAAGACCTCGACACCACTGATGTAATACCTGTGCCACAGTCAGAAGCTGTACAGAGAAAAACGCAAAAGTTACGACCCATCACAAGGGGAAGAATTTTAGAGAACATATTTTTGACTAACCAGTGATCAGTCTGCTTGACATTAAGGCGATTGAAATCCCCCTCAAGCACACGATTTTCCTTGATGAAGTACGATGTGGTGCGACTCCCTGGATGTGCGGTGATACATTGCGCGTTATGGCCGGCCTCAATGAAGATACTGATACTTAAAACGGTCTGGGACTGTAGAGAAAACCCAAAGTTAATGACATCAGAGACCATGAGGGCTCCAGCTGGAATAGTAGTAGATTCATTTTCGTCGAAAGTGACATTCTGTATGGTTTGAAGCTGAATTCCTGGGATTCCTGACCGATTCTCAGTCGCCAGTGCTAGCGTTGTTTGTGCTATGGAAAGAGGCTCAGATCCAAATGCGTTGGATAGCCTGATTCGCAGAAAGTTTTCTGTTCCAATTGACATTCGTATTGTTTGACGAATAGTGGTATTACGAAAGGCTACACCCTCTTGTATCTACAATCGAAGTTTCATTGTGAGTTCTAGCTGAGTTTGGATAGGCGCCCAACCAAGGCAGTATAAGTTCACATCATTGCCAATTGACGCTGTCTTACTTACAAAATCATTGGGGGGTAAGTTATCACCATCTATGAGCATTGGCATGCTAGCCCATGTGTGAACCCAGCGCCCTTGGCTGGTTGATAGTGGACTCATAATGGCTGCGCTGTCGAAGTTGGTAGCAATAACTCCAAAGGCTTGTCGTATTGATCTGTAATGATAAGAATGCAGCGGCCTTAGCCCACCTTTGGCAAAGACAGAGGTGGCCTTCGCGATCCACCGGATAAACTTGCAATCAATGGTGCCCACCAATCATCTGCCTCAGAACAATCTCAGCAGCCTAAATACAGAGACAGTGAACACGCCTTAGAGATAAGGTTTTCTTTGCTGTGACTGTTTTCGTGTTCAGGTAGAGAAGCAGATATATTCGACGCTGGAATTAGGACTGTAAAATGTGGCAGAAACCCCACTGAGCAGGTTTGTTGATGATAATGCGTCAAATGGATCGTTGCGGTACCAATACGGAGGTATCTGTCCTATCGACCTCCGACTAGGTCTTTATCTAACTTGGGTGACCCTCAGGTTCGGCTAAAATGTGATTTGTTTGCGCGCTCGAATGCATCATCTTCAATGTAGCAAACAGTTGATACATCTAAGACGCAGTCAGTCTATTGGGATCGAAGCCCTTGCCTCGTCTAATTTAGAAGCCGCGATTATCTCCATGCCAAGATCTTCGCTATTAACGCTGTTAAAAGCTTTGACGCTCACACTACACCATTCGTGTTGTAGCTGACGCAATATATATTTTCTCTACTCTACGTGAAAATCATTCTTGAAAACAATGAATTTCATCGAAGAATTACGAAATACTGTGGGTGCGTATATAAGCGATGACTTCTCAAGAGCACAGCAGGCTAAATCTGACGAGCTTGTAGGAACCTCGGTAATATTAACGGTGTGACTTCCCCCTCGCGCGAGATATGTCAAATTACGTCTGCCTTCACTATTTTCGTCTTTATCTCACAAACATATGCTTCGAATGTTATTCCCTCAGTGAGTGCGAAGGAGGTACCGAAATCTACAAGTAATAGAGATAAGTAGGCGGCCAGTCAACAGCTTCGATCCAAGCTTTGACGAAACCCGCCAGTCAAAAAAAACTAACACTCCGCTTTGCAGGATAAATTCTGAACCAGGAAACAAAGTGCGGATTTAAACACCTTTACTCATTAGTCGCAATGCCTGCTCACTTTTCGCTCGAGGACGATTGAGTGAGAGTGTGTGATTTTGCTTTGCAATGCTCCATATGCGTATCCTATTTACGCCAGGTCATAAGAGATCCAAACAAGATCCACTCACCTCTGTTATCCAAGAATGCATTCATTCGAACATCATCCCACTTTCTCACTAATTTTTGAAATATTATAATAATTATTTGAAATTTTTGGATCTATACTGAGAGATGTTTCAGAAAACGCATCTGTATGTATTTTAGTAGGGTAGGTAGGTACTAGGAGGTTGATTACCTGGCCTTGCCGGCACAATTTCAATATGGGGGCACCCCGCCAGTGCCCTGAGGCGTCCTCCACAATGGAGGTACCGCTGAAATAAACCGGGAGTGCCGGATCATCACCTAGTAGTATTCATCTTGGCTTCTAGCTATTCAACCTGGATGTATCTCGAAGGTTATGAAGAGGTACAACAACCCAGCAACTCCAAAAGACTGTGGTCTTGCATAACACTTGCATCGACCCAAGAGTGGTATGTAGTGACGTGCCCGCAGAACCGCCAGGTTCTGCGCGTGTTCGGAGAAGTGGCCGTGGAGGAACCAGGAGGAGTGGTGCATAGTGCTATGGAGACAAATCCTGAGAAGTCGGTGCGGCTCAGTGCTCTTCTGGGTCTGAGTAGATTGCATCCATACTGTAAGAAACGTGGCGGGCAATACAGCATATTGCATGAGAGGTGATTTTCGGCGCGATTGATCGCGTTGATCCCGCCATCACCGCCACGCAGCCTGTTGTGCTGGTTCTTGATGCTTGACCGTGACATTATTTCCGCCTCGTGTCTAATATTCTCGCACGACTTGAAGTGCCTATAGACATGCTACAATTTATGACCATTGCAATTTAGCAGTTCCGGTAGAAGACCAATCCTTGCAAATGGCCGTGTGTTTTTTTCAAATATTTAACATTTATTTAATGTCAGTTAAGGTTGAATGTATACAGTCATATTGTTTCTAACCTAGCAAACGCCAGCCACCCAAATATAAGTATATCGCTGAATAACAAGTGAGCAGCTCCCCTTCTAAGTCTCGCCGAATACAGAAGGCGGTGAGAGGTTTCTGCGGGGTTCTTAGTAATACACCTTCGGAATATCTGGAGGAATGCTCTAGGTGGGTAGGTAATGCAGCGGAATTTACCTACCTAGCGGTTTGACATCAGTTACATACTGTTTATGGTCAGCTACTCTGTTCAATTCTCATATGTTTGATCTCAGGCTCCATTATAAACAATGGCAGACCAACTCTCATCGATCACTGAAGCGGCCCCTATCAGAGACTTGTCAACGCCTCCATTGCCTAGGGCAAAACGACGGAAGACGCAGCAAGCGTGTAGTAATTGCCGGGGCCGGAAGACGAAGTGCGATGGACAATATCCCATCTGCGCTGCCTGCGAGAGACGCGGCGTAGCTATGACATGTGTTTATGAGCGTCCACAACCTGCGCCGCATTCACAAAGGTGATTGAACCGCGTCTTTCCCTGCCATGTTGCTAAATGTATATCCAGGTATGCGGATCTGGAAAGCCGACTACAACGATTGGAGCAAGGCGAGAACAGTGAACGGCCGAGTGTGTCATGTGAGTAGAGACCTTTTCTAGCCTCTTTCTCAATCTTCCAATTGAGATATACCGTCTCTCTTTATTTTCGTCAGCTGAGATGAGGCCAGTGGACATTAGAAGTTTGCAGCCTCCCCGCTTTGGTCCAGATATAAACCTAGCAGATGATGATTCTTTACCTCCAAGCAATGCGAGTGGTATCGTCGGTCACGATGATTCCCCACATAATCTTGCTCATCAGCAGGTCGACGCATTGGCCACTGTTTCTCCTGACGACAATGGCAGTTGTGTTTATGGCGAATCTTCTACTATTGCCTTCGTACGAGAATTTACTCAAAAGACTCCGTCGGATAGCACCGCGGCGCAGCACAAACATCAAAGTGGCCAGGCTGCTCATGGGTCCGCTCGGGTGCAGTCACCTGCTGTGCTTACACCGCTTGACATATCTTTAGGGAGTAAAGATAATCTTGCTATCCTCCCTCGTCGTAGCAATGCAGACGACTTTCTGCGTTGCTATTTCGAGTTTATTCATCCGCTGTTTCCGCTCCTTCACAAAGACTCATTTATCGCACAGTATAACCGACTGTGGCTCCCTTACGACAATTCGCAGTCTGGCAAAGAGGATTTAGTATTCATGTGTAATCTGAATCTTGTCTTTGCTTTAGGGTGCCAATTCAGTAGCCTGGCTCATACAAATAACAGAGCTTCAACCGCAAATCAATTCTATAAAATGTCCCGACAAGTATTGCTCTATGATATTTTGGGCACAACCTCGGTGTCGGTGGTACAGTGGCTTCTTTTGAGCGGAGTGTATCTCCAATCAACAGAATATGCAAGCCACTGCTGGAACTCAATAGGACTTGCTATTCGCCTTGCACAAAGTCTGGGACTACATCTGGAACATCCGGGTTCAAAATCGGAGAGCCAGCTCAACCGAGAAATGAGACGGAGAATCTGGCATACCTGTGTTGTTTTAGACAAGTATTTTTCTCTTCCCTCTATGATCCGTAGGTATGTTTCCTTGCTAACTATGGAAAGACTGTTAGCTATGACTTTCGGCCGTCCAGCTATGGTGAATAGGTCTTACGGTACTCCAATGCCTTCTTTGATTGATGATGAATATCTGCGCACAGATGGTGATGGCGTCCAACCAAACGGAGCGAACTCCCGAATGGGCCTGTTTGTGTATTCCTGCAAGCTTTTCGAAGTCTTGGACGATATATTGTCAACATTCTATTCAGTCGACGCTTCTGCGGACCCTGTTTCTGAATCTCGCTTGCAAGACATGGTATCAGAAGTGCTAAGTTTCAACCGCCGCTTAGACAACTTTATCACTTCGTTACCTGACTATCTTAGAACAGCACAAAGTTTCCAGGTCGTTATGACGGAGAGAAATAGCTGGACAAATCTTCAGCAACAAGTCCTCTATTGTCGGTAAGATTTACATGTCTAGGCCCTCTTATTGCCTGTAGCGCTGACTTTGTAGATTCCTATATACTAAACTATTGTCTTTACGCCCCTTGCTGCTCTTGGCGACAAAGCGAGGTCCAAAAGATGCCGTAGTGGCCTCGACAGAGGAGAATTTATCGTTACTCGACGATTATATCATTAGCCGTTATTGCGATCTTTGCATTAACACAGCGCATCGCCTGATTGAGACAATTTTTGAGCATCTGGATACCGCTTACAAAAGCTTTGGTTGGCACTCGGTATATTGTATGGTAACTCTTGCTGAAAATGTCCATGCATGGAGAGACTAATATTTCATAGTTACATTTGCCGCTGCCACCATTCTCCTCGCTTCCATGAGACTACCAGAAGTAAGAGTCGAGTTTACAATAACCTTTGAAACTTCGTGGCATCGCACTTTATCAATATTAAATCATTACAAGGGGAACATCCAAACTGCGTCACGTGCGATACAAGTTTTGGAAGCTCTCAGATGTCAGATCCATGGAGGACATCCCGAAGGTGAGTCAAACTCTCTGTAGTATTCTCACCAAGTTAGCTAATGACATGTAAAGAGACTGACACGCGGAGCTCCATCGATGATACGCCAGTCAGCGATGAGCAAATGAAAACCGAGATGCCTTTAGACTTTACCAACCAACTCGACTTCAGCCAGTTCAATCCTTTCGGAAGTTATAATCTGTATGATGCTTGGTTCGGCCAGCACCTCATCAACTTAGATGCCTTGGAGATGAGTTGAGCATTCTTTGGATGTGGCCCAGCGACCGTGGACTCATAATTGGCCTATGTTCATTTTTAAGCGTGTTTAAACAAGCAGTATTTGGCATCACAGTCTAATATTAGACCTTTCCATGCCACTGCATAGTATGTAGGGGCGGTTTGTATAATTTGGCGGTTAAAGGTGGATAGTTGAAAGCACTGGTTTGGACCCGTGCGAAATGTCCCTAATAATTGTCCGATCTTGTCGATACGCGAAGCGTTAAAGCCTACACCACCGGGCCTGACAGAACCGGATAGATGCATTGGTGTTTTGCAGCATGTCTCGTCTCTGCCTGTTCTTTGGCTTATCGCAACGAACTCCTAGACGCTGTGCGCTGTATACTTCGAGCCTTGACGCTAGCAACGATCAGGCTGGTATGCGGGGCAATGTATCTAACCTAATATCGAGATAGCAAACAGGAGGAGGCCCTTTAAGCATCTTGTTCCTTATCCCTAGCCTCGGTCTACATAACGCCTTGGGTTCCCCGGATTCCCCGCAGCTTTGGAGTCCTCGGCTAGTCCCAGCAGGGTGAAATCGGAAGCAGGGATCGGGATTGCTAGCGTCTTATGTGGAGTATCGGAAGCAGGGTTCGGCATCGGGATGCCTCCCGAGAACCGTTTCTACAGACCGACGAGAGAACTCTTGGTGTATTGTTACACCCTTCTTTGCCGATAATATCGGAAACGCAATGGTGTTGCGATTCCGATTTCTGAATCTTGTAGATCATGGCGTACCCCATGGTCCAGAAGATCCATACGCCATGAATGCGATGCGGAGATTGCCTTTGCCGTGAAGTCTTGCCATGACCCCGCCATGTAAACACACAAATGGCCTGGTCGAGTTCCAATATAATCCGACTGATCTCCAGCAAGACCCTCTGGTTAAACTATCGACAAGAGTGCGTAAACCCTATATCTTCACGTTTAAACCAACTTATATCTCTGTCCTCGTCGTTGCCAAAATACGTACCCATCCGCTTCACGCCCACATTTCCAAATGTCGCTAGTAAAGGACTTTGACATAGCAATTGTTGGTGGTGGAATCGCGGGGTTAACATTGGCCATTGCTCTCAACTCGCGGTCTATTCCCTTCACTATCTATGAACAGGCGTCCTCATTTGCAGAGATTGGGGCGGGTGTCTCCTTCAGCCCCAATGCTGTCCAGGCTATGAAAGTTTGCCACGAAGGCATTTACGAAGCATTCGAGAAAGTGTGTACCAGAAACGTATCACCTTCAAAACAGAAAGTTTGGTTCGATTATGTGGACGCATACAAGGATGTAACATCCAATGGTACCCTTGATACGGCTTTCACTGTTTCGAATAGCCTCGGTCAGAACGGCGTACATCGCGCCCAATTTTTGGACGAGGCAGTCAAACTCATTCCCAAGCATCTTGCGAGGTTTGGTAAACGACTCCAAAACATCACTGAAGATCGCAACGGTAGACTCGTGATGCGATTTGACGATGGGACCGTAGCAGAGGCTGACGCGATCATTGGCTGTGATGGGATCAAATCGCGGGTGCGTCAAGCCATCGTTGGCGCCGACCATCCATCCGCCAAGCCTGTTTATACACGAAAATACGCATACCGTGGACTGATTCCGATGGAGGATGCTTGTGCCGCAGTTGGTGAAGAGCGAGCTCAGAATGCTTGCATGTATGTGAGTACTCTTCTCACTCCTGTGATCATGGGTAGAACTAATGTTGTTAGATGGGGCATGACAAACATGTTTTGACCTTCCCTGTGAACCATGGAAAGACCCTGAACCTGGTCGCATTCAGAACCACCTCAGAGGATTGGCCCGATTCCCAGAGATTAACCAGGCCAGGTCAACGGGAGGAACTTTTACATGACTTTGAAGATTTTGGGCCCGCCGCCATCAAATTATTGAAGTTGGTCAACCCGAAACTCGATGTGGTAAGTAGCTCGTCCAACACTCATAGTCCATGACTGAACATAGGCAGTGGGCGATATTTGACCTGGGCCACCCCGTTCCAACTTTTTACAAAGGCCGCATTTGCATTTCAGGCGATGCTGCTCACGCTACTTCTCCACACCATGGCGCTGGGGCTGGATTCTGCATTGAGGACAGCGCGATGTTGGCGGAGCTGCTGGCAGACGAGCAAGTTAAGACACAGCATGACCTGGAGGCAGTCTTTGCTACATATGACGCAGAAAGGCGAGCAAGAGCACAGTGGCTGGTGGAAAGCAGTCGGTGGGTCGGGGACTGCTACGAATTACGTGCAGAAGGGGTCGGAAATGACTTCACTAAGATTGGGGATCAAATCATTGAAAGGAATGGGATTATTGCTGATGTCAATATAGAAGAGATGTGTGCGAAGGCAAAGGACGAGCTACGGAGGAGACTCTCTAAGCCATTGGGAGGTGAAAAGTTGTAATATCTAACAGTATACTACTCAAGCTGTATACAAGAATGTACATATATGACGAACTATGTGCTAATTAATACTGTTCTATCTTATTCTACCAATCGTTGAGTGTATTGAGAGGACAAAAAGTATATTTCGGGTCTTTCAGAAATAATTATTAAAGACACCTGATTTGCCTTCTATAGTGCTCGCTTATAAATAGTATATATACCTACTGTCTACCACAACTAATTATTAGAATATCTAAACGCCATAAATATAGTTACATACAGTCAGTTCCATCTATTTGAAGCTTTCACTCAGTTCACTCATCTATTACTCGCCCTACTAAGCTAACTTCTTTATACTTGTGACACTCGCCTCTCATCGGCATTTTCAGTTGTCAGTCGGTGGCCCAACATATTTGCACGTAACCTCCTCATTCTTAGCAGAACACTGCGACAAGACAGTGCTAGTTCTCGTATCGAACAACTCAATTAGTTCGCCGCCCTCGGGAGTGACTTTGCCCGCCGATCCCTGCGCCGACGCGTTTCGGATCGTGATGGTGCCGTAGTCGGGAGACGCCACGGTGCCGGTGTCGTTGCCTCCAGAGTTGTTGTAGTCCTCGACAATCCACTCAACACTATTTTGGCACAGCGGTGCATCTGGTGGCGCGTCGGCGCTGGTAAAAGTGTGCGACACGCTCTGCCCAGTGCTGAGGTTGTCCAGGATAGCGGAGCCACTGGAAGGTCCGAAGGCGTTGATGGTCATTCTGATATCGTCTCCATCGCTGACCTCGAAATTTGTAAACACAGGTGCGCTCAGGGGAACCCATTCAAACCATCCGAACGCTGTGCCATTGCCAGTGAGTCTGACACCCGTTTGCAATGGGCCGCCTCCGGGGCATTCTGTAGAACCATCGATTCCGACCCAAATAGAAGGCCCAAAGTTTTTACCGCCCTTTGGGACTGTGAATGTGCCTGTCACCGAAGTGAAGCCACTACCGCTCTGCTTAACACCGGACCAAACGCGGTCCAGAGTTTGTGGGGGACTTGCGCTGGTCGACCGTTCAGAGAGGGTAGACGCCAGGGCAGCCGTCGCAAGGGTAAGAATGGTTGACTTCATGCTGAAATGAAGATCTTGCTGTCGGAAAGTTTGACTTGAACAGTTAAGAGGTATACTTGTGTTACTGTCGAGAAAGATGGAATGCGCTTGGCTTATAACAAACTCGTCAGATATCTAATGTATTTGCTAATACGAGAATATCGGCTGCGCTTACAGCAATAGTGATCGACTATTGTGGCATTTGACGGTAGTACAACAGGATAAATATGCCGAATTCGCAATCCGCCCCTATTTTTGACGTCACTGCATAGTGCTAAACCACTAAGACAGTCCTACACAATCCCTTCAGGGGCGTTGAAGAACACAAGGATTCAAAGCACAGCCCTGCTGAATTTGTCGAATACCTTGAAACAAACATGGATCGGCGCTAACGGAGTTAATTAAATGGAAGAGATTCCGACTCAGAGTGGAATTAGGGATCAGACAGCGATGCTCATATGAAGCGGTTCTGTACTAAGTAAGTAAACTTCGTAGAACTCTTCCTGAGATCAGCGTCGGCTTTCGGCACTTATACTAATCAGATCGGCAGTCGCAGCAGTAGGTCTATGAAGAGTAACTAATCAAGGGTCCCTGTGTCTGTGCATGAACATCAGTATGGATTTTAACTATAATATCACACTCTTTATCTATGCAGTAGTTCAAAGTCGGTGAGATCTGGTCTCCTTGGAACGGCTTTTCTTATTTATAGATAACATAGACCGCTATAAAGAAACAATAGTACAAAGGGAAAAAAAAGCGCAAGAATCTAGGACAATCTCGGGACAACCAGCAAGCTTTTTCTAAACGTTTTCGATGGTACGAAGGAGCGCACAGATACATTACTTCATCTTTAACCCTACTCTGCTGCGGTCTAAATCAAGATTGTGACAACGTTATCTACAGTAAGCAATGCTTTGCTGGCTCTTACGTGGGCTGCGTGCAATAATAGCTATTTTGGACTTTTGAAGGCAGTGTATCACTGTCTATAACATCTTTCTACAACTTTTAGCAGCAGCGGAAGTCTAATACAATCTAGCTTCCAAAAGTCTAAATCCAACCTTTGCTTTGTAAAATCTCTTTAGCACAGATTTCTAAGCTTTCTTCAGGCAGACCTAGTGTTTTATTCCACTCAGATGCGCGTCCTGAAGAGTAGCCAAAGCCCGTGTCCGAGTAGAGGGCTGCTGTGACTGATTCTGGATATCCAAGATCCCAGTTTCCTTCTTCTATATGCTTTTTACCAACGGCAATCAATTCCTTAACACTTCCATCAGTTCTTCTGAACTTTTTGTCTGAAAGCTTCTCAAAGGTGTCGACAATTTGAGCCTGAGAAACAGAAAACGACTTGACATATATCCGCTTATTTTTTGTCTCCTCAAGGTGTTGAAAAGTTGCGGCGACCGCTAGACCGACTTGATTCATAGTAGTGGCGTCGAGAGGTCTAACGCCCTGGTCGAATAACTGAACTTTCGGGTCGTCAAAGTAAAAGCCCATCAGGCCATGACCGTATCCGAAAAGCTAAGTGCATATCAGGTTAAGGTCTGTTGTACTGCTGGATCAGGAAATTATGGTGTACTTACATAATCGAAGAACGCTCCAACGCTGATCGCGGTCCAAGAAAGGCCCTGCGACTCTTTTGTTTTCAGGTATTCAATAATATTTTTTTTCTGGACTGCAAATGGAGCAATGTTCTCAAGATCAGGCAACGAGGCATCACCGCCATATTCACTTGGTAGAAAACGCTTCACTTTTGCCTCAACCGCGGCATCGATCATGGCGATTTGATCAGAGACGTTGAAAGTTGCGACCGCGGAGACGACGGCATCGATTCCCTCAAAAGCCTTTACAAGAGATAAATGACTGAGGTCTGTCCGATGGACAGTGATACTGGGTGCATAAGTAGCTTTAGAAGTCTCACGAGCAAGGACTGAAACATTAAACCCTGCATTCTGAAGTTTAGATATGAAAACAGGACCTATGGTGCCGCCAGCCTGTGCTGCATTAGCAAATGAGACAAAAGTAGATAGCCATATTGAACTGCCGTACCCCGACCACAATCACGTTCTGGATTGTGTTTGCCATACTTGGAATTTGCATATATAGTAGGTATCTTGTAGAAAATTGCAATTGATATAGTGAACAACAGCTGAAGTTGTCTTGTAACTTTGCGTTTGCCCACAGCCTGGTCCCTTTATACTAATATTTGAGCTCTTGTTGAAAATAATGTGGATTCTTGAACTTTTGGACTGTGAAGTATTATTAATAGAGACTTGCCATAGCGGAGTTCAATCTTGATATGGATCTGCCTGACCGAAAGATTTGGAATCTTACTCGATAGTGCATTAGTAAATGCAGCAAAATCACATTGTCTGAAATAGCTCTAGGCATTTGATTATTATTTACGCGGGTAGGCCTGTTCTAGATTCCAAGGGTAAGGTCGCAAAGTATACTAATCAAAATTAACTACTGTGGAATCTAATCCAGATGGAGGTTTGGCTAAAGTGAAGAATGGAAAATCTAGTCGTAAAGAAAAGGATATACATCTTCCTTTCTACAAGATTTTATCGAACTTATAGAATTCCTGCCCACAATTTTGTTCTGTTGTTCCACGTTATGTCTGAATAAAACACTAAAGAGTTGACATTTAGGTTCAAAGTTGTTGCGTTGCTCCCATAGCGGGGCCACGACCCCATACTCAATGGCTTTTTATCCGGCACGCCACTCTTGGCAAATCCTGCAATAGCATGCTGAATGATGACAGCGACAGAGGCATCCACATTCGGCGTTGGACCGTTATAAAACGTATATGGAATGTCGCTTCCATGAATAGCTGGAGGAACTGCGAATTCATAGGCATAGACTGCAGTACCATGGTAGATAGTCTCTTGAAGTAGGGTTTGTTGAGCCGCAGCGAAAAAGAACTCATTCATCATCAATACAGCTCGTTCAACATCGGAAGTATAGGGATAAGAGCCGTTATAAATTGATGGATAGAGTGATTCCACCATGAAAATGAATTTCTCTTTTGGTACAAGAGGGAATAGACGTTGGAATTCTTGTAATAACGCTGTGTCATTGCCAATAGTCTGGGGATTAACAAATAAAGCACCCTCATAGCTCGCATGCGAAGATAACAGTTCAATGCCTTGAGTGAATGATCCTCCGAGTAGCAGCTGAGTTGGTGGGCCAGGGATCAAGTCGCCGTCAACTGAAGGATTGAAGGCAAATTGATCATAGGGAGCAGCTCTGATTTGCTTAGAATTGGCGGCAATAAGGACGTTTGAAGGCAGTTGTCTGGCTTCTTGTAGCGAAGTGACATTCAAAACCGAGAGAAATTCCTGAAAGTTGCTCTCTTGTTGCGAAGGGTCGGTTATTATGCTCAGCGGTATGGACTGCGTTATGGCTCTTTTGAAAGGCACGGGCTGGCCTCCCTGAGAGATAAGATGGAACATGATTGAGCCTGCGCCGGCAGATTGTCCCATTACTGTGACATTTTCAGGATCTCCACCAAATTTAACAATATTTTCCTGAACCCATTGCAGGGCGAGACGTTGGTCATGCAGTCCAGCATTAGCTGTGCCATTAGCCTGCAGTGAAGGGCCCGCAAGAAAGCCAAACACACCGAGGCGATAGTTCATGGCGACCCAGATGATTCCGTCACTGCCATCTTCTTGAGATGCAGATATAATCTCATTGGGACTACCCCAGGACTCTTTGGAGCCGCTCACGTATCCACCTCCCTAATAGCTGATTAGTCTTTAAAACATATAAAAAGCCAAATTCCCATGGTAACTAACATAAATCCATACAACCACGGGGGCTTTTCTGCCACTAATGCCACTGGATTTCCGTTCAAGTACAGCCTTTGGGACTATGACGTCTAAGACTAAACAATCTTCTGTAGTCCGTGGATCTGGCGGGGGCTGGGGAGTGTTCTTTAGATTGACCTCAGCTTCGGTTAGGTTGAACGGAAGCTGTCCCGTCGCCGATGCTGTCACAAACTGTGTTGCAATAAGAGTCCAGTCTGGTGACTGCTGTGGACAAATCTTTCCCACACTGCCATCCTGAATGCCACTTTTAACACCTCTGGGTGGAACGGGAGCGCTGAATCGCAGTGACCCTAACGGAGGTTCAGCGTATGGGATGTTAGTGAAATTATAGGTTTCAGTTGTTGCCTAGAATTTTCTTTTAGTTTGAGTATATTTAAGGCTTTAAAAAGCCGACTGACGTTATATGATATGGCACGATGGACTTCATATCCCAAGTCAACGGTTGGCAGCGAGCGACCGGTTGTAGCTTGAGCTATACACGCCAGTGTAGTCAAGACGAGCGCGCCGTTCAGAATCATTGTAAGATATTGCATATAGATGTAAGTTGATTGAGGATTTTATTACAGGTTTGACAATGAAATTTCAATAGGCTTTATATATCCAAATGTATCCCCTATACGCAACGCAATACACTGGGTTTGCTTTTCTTGGATGACAGTATATTACCATATATAGCAATACATTAACGACCAAATTAGATGCTGGTTTTGTTTACAGTCCATAAAAGGCAATACATAGAGCGGGTTACTACAACTGCCCCACACCCTCAAGCTTTGCTTAGCATTTTGTCCCACGCGTCTGGCGGCGCATAATAAGAGGGATTGTGTTCGCTGCGGTCCACAACTTTAACAAGGAGTTACTCTATGAGTGGCCCAGGAGATTTGATGAATTTGGGAAGTTCCATCTATCTACCTTTCTTCCATCCCTGGTTATTTTCTTAGCCAAGTCATTCGTAGCTACCGGGAAGTCTTTGGATATCGCCACTACAGAGAATGGCTGGTCTTCCAGGCATAAAATTCTAAGCTCCGAGTTGGAGACTTTGACCTACAGCGCGTTTCAGACCCCGTTAATAAACATATCTTAGACTCAAAGGACAAATTCTTTGCAGTTCCAAGTCCATCGCTGCGCGAATTAACAAATACCCCAACTTCATACCCGACATGATCTATGTACAGCGCTATCTAATCAACTGCTTACATACATAGGTATCACGACATATATATGGTAAAGCATGGACTCTAACAAAAATCCTCTGTTGTATTTTTTTTTCTTTAAAATAATTTTCAGTAGTGGAGACGCGACTAGAGGACGAACGTCTCTCCAAGACGTGGACTATCAAATACTTGATTTAGGAAGCCTTCTGGAAAAGAATGAACCCGGTAGCTAATATCTCGATTTAGATAGAAAGATAGAACTTGGGCATGAAATACCTAATTGGAGGGCAAAAAGGAAGTCTGTTTTTGTAGCTGTAGTGCCATCGGGTAGCTGTAAAGGCCCAGGTGGGTCGACGCTGGTAGGTCTTCAAGCCCTGGCGCTAAGAATAAGAACAAAGGAGGGAAACACAAAGAGAAACGATGTGAGAGATGAATTGTCCCCGAAATCTACTTATTTTTGCGATTGCTACTGAGCGCCTGCGACCCCATTGACCTTATCCTTCTTCACTTTGCTTATTTCCGGCCCCTGATAACAAGCTGTAACTTGTTGCTAATGTTTGTTTCAACAACTAGGAGTATGGAGACTTCAAGTACTTCAGGGCTGTTTGTTAGGTAAGATTACCTAAAACAGGGGTACCATGCTCGCTGTGGCGAAATATAGCAACTATAGTCACACTGCTGCCTTTTGCAACCAGTGACAGTAACACAACATTGTGCTTGTTCCTGGCCGCCACCAGACTATAACTCAATGGTCGCAAACGCTATTCAATAGCGCCGTCTTAGCGTCAACTAGTTTGGTTGGGCCAGCAACTCAGCTCAGCCTCATTTCCGCTGGATGCCAGGTCTCCCGAGCCACCTAAAGTGTCTCCCTTTACACGGCCAAGTGATACCTATCTAGAACTATGCAGGGTCTTTTTTTTATAGGCCCTGGTTCATTGGTTCGCATTCAAGACAAATAAACCCTCCCACTTTACTTAAACAACCCTCCAACGCGCCTGGATATCATTTATAGCAGCTGCTATTTGATCGGAAACTGTGCTCGCCGGCATCACTGAGACGCTACCGACAACACATATTTTGGCTTTTAGAAGGAATAGAAGGCAAATTAACAAAAGAAAACAGGGAAATAAAATAGAGATTATCGACGCATAAATCTTCCAGCTGTGTTTGGCGCTGATCATGACAGTCATCAATCGTCCTACGATCTCACAGTCCAAGTCTAGAAGAGAGATACTTGTGACCGGCGGCGCAGGCTTCATTGGCTCAAATCTGGTCGAAGCCCTCTTAGCAACAGGCTGCTGGAAAGTTATTGTTGTGGACAACTTTGATAACTTTTACTCTCCCGAGATTAAACGCGCCAACATTGCTACACATCTTCACAATCCCAATTTCAGATTGCACGAAGTTGACATACGGGAACCCATTTCTCTACGCGAAATCTTCGCCGATAACAATATCTCTGTTATTGTGCACCTCGCTTCGCGGGCTGGCGTACGGCCGTCTCTTCAGCACCCAGCTTCTTATATCGACACCAATGTCACCGGAACTTTGAACTTGCTTGACTGTGCCAGAGATTTCGGCGTGCGAAATTTTCTATTTGGATCATCATCAAGCGTATATGGACTCAACTCAAAAGTTCCTTTTTCCGAGGACCAGAATACGTGTCAGCCAATTTCGCCGTATGCAGCATCCAAGGCAGCCGCCGAACTGCTTTGTCATACCTATTCCCATCTTTACGGCATTCGCTGTATTTGTCTAAGATTCTTCACTGTCTACGGCCCGCGGCAGCGTCCTGACCTTGCAATTTACAAATTTGCCAAGCTCATTTGTGACGGCAAGCCAATTCCTGTCTTTGGTGATGGGACAACTCGTCGAGACTACACTTATGTAGACGACATCATACAAGGTATTTGCGCTGCCATCGACTACGACGGTTCTCAGTACGAGGTGTTCAACCTTGGAGAATCGCAGACTATTGAGCTGCGCGAATTGATTGGCTTGATTGAGAGGAGTCTGGAGCGAACCGCAATTCTTGACAGGCGCGAGGCACAACCAGGTGATATGTCAATCACGTTTGCGGACATCTCAAAAGCCAACAGGCTACTAGGGTACAAGCCCAAGACGAAAATTCTCAACGGCATTCCAAAGTTTGTTCAATGGTTCTTGGCGCAAAATCAGTGTACGGCGTAAATAGTTACCAAATGTGCTGAACTTTGCAACTTGCTTGCTTATTAATTATACATGATGGTGGCTCTAGATGAGAGAAACTAAATGGCTGGATAATATACACGTGCTCCATTTTATTCATATAGATATATACATTAAATTTAGACAACAGCTTTGGAAGGATGAATGGGACAAGTGCAACCACTCAACTAAGCGGCCCTCCCGCGTCGCGAAACACTTCATCCCACCAGTGGTCACCAGGCAGACGAAGTGAATCATCCAAGTACTGACAAACGTCTTGGAACCCAACCTTTTTTAAGGGAGCCTGAGCCGAGTCGCCCATCAGTCGTGGCCTCCTATCTAACTTCTCCGCTGTAGTAGCCCAGTATTTGACGCCACTGTCCTCAGCTTCTATCGTCGCCAATGGCTCATCAGGTATCCTAGGCGCTAGGTGGATGGTGAGGAGCTTTCGCAAGTGCTGGTGGAACCAAGGCTTGTCCCACCAAGATGTTCGTCTTTCTTTGAACCCGTTGTGGTGGACTATGGCAGGAATTGATTCGGTGAAAAAATCGGCATACAGCTCCATCTCTCCCCAATCTGGTGATTCGATCACGCCGGCAAGCGGATTTCTTGCCGACTTAATATCCTCTGGGACACCGTGGAGTCTCACGGGGGATATGCCCAATGCCTCGGAGTGTGCATCAATGACAGACTGGTTGTTTAGTAAGACAAAGGCTCCATCAAATAGCCCGTCGTCAGTATCTGTCCAAAAGGTCTGGATGGACAGCTCTTGATTATAGTCGAGCCCAAAGTGATACTCAAAGTCCCGGTCCATAAGAAAGTTTGCGTCACTGTCTTGGATGACTTCTTTGCTTGCTCGCCGCCATTGTCGCCAGACCTCTTGCTCACCCAGCACTTCTCCAGGAATGCCTTGTTCGCTGAATAAGTGGACACCTTGATTAAGGCCTGCTTCCATCTTCTCTGCGGCACGACGAAACAGTCGCCTCATGTCCCCTGCAGGGCCAATGTAAACACCCCCATTGATGTACTTTGGTCGATGATCTCGATGCTTGTTTGCATCCTTTTCCGTGTCTGGACCGTACAGATCTGCTCTCAATGGGCTATCCGGCAATCTTTCGCAGTGCATGTTGGAGCCCGAGTTTGGTTGTGGATGGCAGTTTTTCCCAGACGCTGCGATGATGGTTTGTCGCATGGGAACAGGCTCATCTCTGTCCCACTGTTGCTGTAGTCTGATGTTGGCTCTCTTGTTGATATCATGGTATCTTTTCAGGAGAATATCCGCAGGGAGTTGAAACCAGACGTCGTAGGCATCAACCATAAGCACAAGGTCGTCATACTCTAGCTTCTCGTCCGGGTGAGCTTCCGGATGCAGTGCCGCATCGAGATACTTCACGAATCCTGGGATTTTAGGGAGGTTTTGGCCGCCCTCCCACTTTGTTATCGCACGATAGTCTATTCCCCAGTTGATGATTATCGGACTTGGATAGCCAAGAGCGAGCGCCGTTGCTATTGTCTTGCATAGATCCGGACTTGGCGACGTAGCAGGTATTACCAAAACGAAGCGGCGGTCTTTGTGCTGCTTTTGTGGCGCGTCCAGTTCAGAGTTAAGGCTATCTATAGGGTCTATAGGCCTTGTTGGCTCAGGTGCAAGAGTTGGCTCAGGTGCAAGAGTTGGCTCAGGTGCAAGAGTTGGCTCAGGTGCAAGAGTCGGCTCCGCAATCTCTGCAACAATAGACTCAGGTGTGAGAGTTGGCTTGAGAGCTTCTGTCACAACATCAAGACGCACACTACTTGGCTTCGTAGTGCTCTCAAGAGGAGAAGTCGGTATCTGGCTGCCGGCGTGTTCGATATGATCAGTTTGATTGCTGGGATGTTGCTCGGCCTCCAAAGTCTGATTGCGTGAATGCTGTTCTATCTCCAGTGTCCGATTGCCTTGTAGATACTCGAGCGCGTGAGGACCAAAGCGTGCATTTGGGTACAACAAAATAATAATGAGCGATAGACTCAACAGGATGAATAGCATAGAGGCTCTTGACATCTTGCGAAAGCCCAAGGCAACTGAAGATTTGAGCATCTGAAAATCCAAATCATAGTGTCTTCTCACCCACTGGTCCATTATGCCTGACATGGCACGGTTTGAAGCCGTTAAACTCGCTCACATTCTCTCGGCCCAGAAGGAAAAAAGGATCAAGTCCAATATTTCCAATAGCGCCTATGAGATAGGGGTCTAGTCTCAGACATGATCGCTAAATGTGCTACCCACTTTAATATTGGCCTGGAGCTGAATTACCGGCGCTATCTTTTTTGCGCTACACCAATTGGCAGCCTACACAGCCTGCCTGGCTACCAGCCTCTGGTCTCTGCAATAAATTTTGCCACTCTATTTCCGGGTGAAGTTAGATGTTCATACGCCCATTACCCCCAGCTCTAATACACCGTTTCCTTGGGAGGTAAGCGTCTCTCCTCCAAGTTGAGATTATCATCCTAATGGGGAATTAATTGGTCTGTTTCTGTTCTGCGTTATCTGCTTTCCTCCCTCAGGTCCAAGTGCGCACTTTCTTTTTCCCCCGCGCTAAAATTACTGTGACCAGAAGCCGTAAGCAATCACTCATCTGCTCTTGAGCATATGCCCAACGCAGCGTCCCCCGCATCGTGAATGAAGACTTGAAAGTCACCAGGCCTTATATGTTACCATACTACAAGTGTGAAAATCTCTATATTGTCCCGAGCTGATTTGAACAGCTATTACAGGGAGAGCTAAGTCGAGTTTCGATACTGACATTAACCAGATAATAGGCTATCAAGGCAGCAAGTGGATGATTCCAGGTTTATTGTAATGGAACCGCTCGATGTATATACGAATGGCTTGTGTTTCAACCTCAGCTCGCTGCCTTATCCACCATAATGCCTTCCTAGCTTCCCGATACCAGAGCGCAAGGAGTAGCAGACCTACGGGGTCTTTGTCCTCTAGCAATCTTCTGAAGCGCAGCTGGGACTGGCTTATGAAGGTTATCATATAAATTCCCGGAAAACTACCGCCTGAAAGCGTTTGTAGCCTCGCTAATAAGACAAGCAAATGAGCTGCAACATAATACGGGTGGTTATCGCTGTTGCTTGTCTCGGTAAGGTTGCACACCTTTATCAAAGAAGAAGGAATACCGGCTGTACTGGCTTCAGGTATTGGAAATTCCATATCAGCGTACTCAGATGCCATGGCTCGAAACAAGCCGTTCGTGCGCAGAGGGTCGGTCAAGGTCCACATGATACGCTTTCCGACGGTCAGCCGCACCCACTCAAGATCAGAAGCATGCCCAGATCGAAGAGGCCAAGCATCTTCAGGGCTCGTCTCCTCAAATGACACGATCGCTATGAGGCCGAGCAACGCTGAGGTGGCCCAGAGAGCGTCTTGGTCCGGCGCTGCGATCAAGTGTGACAGCTTTCGTTTAAAGAGGCAAATGCATTGAAGAGTATGATGTATCTCCGTCTGTGTTCGACATCCGCGTACGACATTGCGTTGTGTCCGCCTGAAAGCTGTGGCAACTGCAAGCATGGCGTGCATCAAGTACGGGTGCTGTGCTGTAAGAATGGAGATCGATGAGTTGCATTGAACCAGCGACATACATGGAAAGCAATGGACGGAATCTCATCCTTCCAGATCTTCGTCATATTGGTACTGAACGGTTGAATAATTTCCGAGCGAAATTGCTCTAGCTTCATCAAAGAGTCCGAATCCAACCTGAAGCTGTAAGATACATCCGAACAAATGACGGGCAGCGATGACGGCGGAGAGAGGACGCTCGCCGAGCCACGACAACTGGCCATCCCGTCTGTTGAGAGCTGTAGGTCTGGAATACCGATGGCAAAATTACACAGTATCTTGTATTCTGTGCATTTGTTACATCGCGGCTTGGTCTCGTCACACTGAACTCATGAGTTAAAATGATCTGCCGAGAGAGGTTGCGTCACTCGCCTTGATTCTTCGGAGCTTGCAGTTTCGGCACCCGAAGCGCGACTTCCTACGTGGCGTTTGAACTAGAGTATCCTTCATCTGAAGTAGATGGGCACGGTGTTAAGGCAACCTCCTTTGATGTTGCATTCTTGACCTATGGTGGTGCTACTTCTTATAATAGGTATCAGCACAAATGATCGGGCCGCCCCTGGCGTTTTAGGCTCGTGGAGAATTACCTAGTATCCCACGCTATTCCGTTTGCCGCGTTGCGAGCGCTGTCATTGGCGAGGTTGGGCCAGCGGGTCACACTTTGTCACAGCGAGTTTGAGTCCAGCAGATATTGTCCAGGATTATTGGATTATTGTTTCCTTGAGGGGACAAACTGGTTTGGCATATTAGAAATCAAGAATCGATTGCAATAGCTCTATGAATCAAGCCATGAGTATAAATGATGTGGAAGCCACCGTAAGAAAGTCTTCTCAATGAGACAGCTCCAATACGTGACGATGCACTGCTCATTGCAAGTAGGGAAAAGAGAGAGTCGTTTCTAGCATCTCTGCGGCCATCATGCACGTCTTTGTTACAGGTGCATCTGGCCTGATAGGTGGAGCTGTTATACAAGAGCTTATCAGATCCGGGCATTCCGTCTTAGGACTCGTCCGCTCCGACAAATCTGCCGAGAAAGTGAAGGCCCTCGGAGCCGAAGTTTTGAAAGGAGATCTCTCAGAATTGAGTGTCTTGAAGTATGGCGCCGCGAATTCTGACGGTGTGATTCACTTGGCCTTTGTCCACGACTTTGATAATTTTGGCCAAAGCTGTCAAACAGACCGAGAGGCTATCAAGGCCATGGCTGCTGTTCTTGCCTGGTCAGATCGCCCTCTTCTCGTCACTAGCGGGACTATGCTGCTTCGCCAGGGTCAGATTGGAACTGAAGATGATTCTTTCGATCCGACATCGCCTAATTTTTCTCTTCGCGGAGAGTCAGAAGAACTGGCCAAACAGCTTGCTTCCGAGGGTGTACGCACGGCGATCATGCGCCTTGCACCCGTTAATCACGGCGATGGTGACGACCACATGTTTATCTCCAACTTGATCACCGCTGCACGTCGAACAAGAGTGGCCGCATACATCGGCGAGGGCCTCAACCACTGGCCAGCCGTTCATTACCTTGACACCGCCGTCGCGTACCGCCTTGCACTAGAAAAAGCAACTCCGGGGGCCACGTACCATATCGTCGCTGAGAGAGGGGTCGTTCTAAGGGATATAGCAGAAGTCATCGGACAGAAACTAGGCATTCCGGTAGAGTCAAGATCTTTCGAAGATTGTCAAAAGACTTTTGGCCATTTTGCGACCGTTATAATGTCCGACAATGTCGTGTCCAGCGCCAAGACTCAGGCAGCGCTCGGATGGACTCCAACACAGTGCACGCTGCTCACTGACCTCGAGCACGGCAATTACTTGTAGGTCTGAAATATGCTAATAGTCGATAAATGATCTATCTTTCGCCAAGGTAAAGCTTATTGCAAAACTCTTATATACCTATTATTATGTACCTAGATTGCGTGGCACTATTATATTAGGTAGAGATCGAAATGAAATTGTAGTCTAGCAACTGCGGTTGTTCTTCAATAACTGCAAATGCAAACCTTATTTACACCTCACTTTCACACTTACTTTTTTCCCATCAGAGATCGGTCGAGACATTCTTAGCTAAAATTACTAGGAGTTACAATCTCCCTCTAGATCAAAATAAAACAACAAACATAGTTACCCTACAAGCCCTTATATATATTATTTACTTAATGTAAAATAGGAAATCGTGAATATCTTGTGAACTTAAAGGCAAGAAGATATTTTAGCGTTTTTCCTAGATTTAATTACTGTAATCAACATATGAGCAACGTTACTGGAAGTAAAATATCTTATCTACCTACCAGCTGCATTTTAAACACAGCCTAACCTGCTACAGCACCGTATGTATACAATTTACTTATTACTATATTACTATACTTGGAAGTACAGTCAGCGGCAGATGGCCTAGCATTCAACAAGGCATCGACATTGATTTACTCAGGAGCTGGGGCAAGCTACATCTAGAGCACGAACCATGATTGTTTAAGCCGGTGAGGTTACAAACAGGGTTTTTTTAAGAATAGAAGCTTGCATAATTTACTAATGCTCTAGTAGGTTTACAAAGGTTATCTAAGAGGTCAAACTCTTAACAATAACTGGAATATCTTCTAGTAAACCTGGGTTTGTCGGATTCCATCCCAATTGCTCCTTTGTCTTGGCGCTCGAAGCTATGTTATCGGCCGTGGCAAGCTCCTTGAATCCACCAAAATAGTCCTCTGCTGTCTCCAATGGGATACTGACAACCGGAATATTCAGACTTTTGCCAAGCTGAGTCGCGATATCCTTCAGTGTCACACCTTCCTCGGCCACAGCATGAAACACAGATCCTGGCTTGGCCTTCTCTACGGCAAGCCGGTACAACTTGGCTGCGTCGTCCCGGTGGCCGGCGCACCAGTGATTCTGGCCGTCGCCAGCGTACGCAGAGACGCCCTTCTCTATCGCAACGGGGATAAGCAACGACATGAACCCCGAAGATCCAGGACCGTGCGTTGTTGGCGGTAGGCGCACAACGCTGGCGCGCACACCCTGCTTGACGAAGTCGAGACACAATGACTCTGAAGGGCCACGGGCCGAGGCAACCGGGGTACTCATGTCAGGTGCATCAGCCTCGTTACCAATCTTGCCGCGCGGCAGCAGCATGGTGCCCGAAGTGACTACTAGAGCGCGGTTGCCACCGGCAGCAGCCAGGGCAGAGCCCAAGGCGGAGATGGCCGCTCGGTCTATGGCACAAGACCCAGCAAAGTCGGCCATGTTGTGGACGAATGCCAGGTGAATGACTGCGTCGCATTCAGAGGCGCCTTTCTTAAGGACCTCCAAGTCCTCGATAGTCCCACGGAGGACCTCGACACCTTGGGCTTTCAGCTGCTCGACCCCCTTGTCACTGCGAGCCAAGCCAAGTACTTGATGTCCTGCTGAGAGAAGTTCTTTGACAACCGCAGAGCCGACGAAGCCGGTGGAACCTGTGACAAAGATGCGCATGTTGAACGTTACGAGTAGTGAGGCTTCAATAAACGAAAAGAACGAGATGCTGTTTGGACTTGAAGATTTGAAATCGAAGAAAACCAGATTACGAAGTTTGAGCTCTATATATATTGCTCGCACCCCCTTGGTGGTAGCCACGGATGTACGGCAAAGTTGACGCGTAGCTACCTCGTGGATTATTGCCATTTGAACATTGCCCACCTCAACAGATGTATTTGAGTTGAACTACATCTTGACATGTGAACTTGTAGGACATTTGATGCAGAAACTCTGGCCAATCAGAGAGCTCAAACTCCGAGTACAGGTAAAGCGTGGGTCAATAGCAAAATGAGTCGAGGTTTAGCGTCGCGGCCTGGTAGCACCCCAGAAATGCCGATCACGCCAAGGCTGATAAAGACGGTAAGGATTGAAATACCCAACCCCCCCAAACTTACTGGAGGGTGATCTTTTGCAGCGTATCTCAATTTGACTGGACGCCGAGTCTCGACAGTCAGACTTCCTACATTTACTACCCTAGTGCAGCCTTTGTTGTAATTCGTGAATATTCATGGACCCCCAAGTCTCGCCAATAGATCAAAAGTGTAGGCCAAAGCGCAAGTCTTCACGGTTCGGCTGTCGAAACTGCAAACTAAGAAAATTGAAGGTAAGTTGACCCATGCTCATCCGTCACACTTTGCTACTGGGGAGACTTTGGTAATGCATACTAACTTCACAGTGTGACGAGACAAGGCCATACTGCTTGAAATGTCGGACATACGGGGTCTACTGCAACTTCGGCTTCAACATTCCCGATCTTCAACCCGTCCACCAGAAACAAACAAAGGAAGAACTAGTTAGCCTGTTTGATATACCGCGTCCGCAATGCACTATTAGTAATGCTATATGGGTCGGCGATGGATCGAGCTATTTTACACTGGATCTGAAGGACCAAATGCTTTTTGATCGGTTCCGATACCAAGTCATTCACTCCCTCGGTGGTTCTGGCGTAGTACACATATGGGAGAGTCACATGCTTCATTTCTGTTTTACTGTGAGTTCAAGTTGAGAAGAAAACTCCATCTGCTCTTGAGATGCGCCCTGCGCAAGTCTGGCTCACTCATACGTGCTCTTCAGTGTCCGTTCCTGATGCATGGAACATTGGCGATGGCAGCTATTCATGAGCGCTATTTTGAGACGACGCCGACACATCGTCGCTCATTACGAGAATCTTATCACGCATCTCAATTCACAACCTTATTCAACAAACAGCTAAGCCAACCCATCAGAGAAGAACACAAGGACCCCCTCTGGGCTGCTGCTGGTGCTGTTGCTATTCTGACGTTTTCTACCCTTGCTGTGTCCTCTCCTGATGAGGCATGGCCTCTTGGGTCACCCGACTCTTCCGACCTTGGCTGGCTTCGTCTGGGGGTTGGTAAGATGAAACTGTGGCATCTAGTAAACCCGCTGCGGCCAGAAAGTGTGTACCGCATCATTTCTGAATCATTTGCAGAACTACATCAATCGGTGCCAACACGGGGCACCAATGGCGTGTCAGTCGGATTGGTGCAACTGTGCGGGCTTGACGAGTCGTCGACGCGAGAGAATAATCCTTTCTTCACGGTTGCGCATGGTCTCTCTCAGCTATTAGAGGTACCAAAGGGCAGGGTCTCCCTAGGCAGTGCTATGAAAGTATGGAGCCATATGGATAATAGGTTTGTGGCCCTATTGGAAATGAAAGACCCGGTGGCGCTTTTGTTGCTTAGCCTGTGGTACACTAAAGCCAGTGGAAGCAGATGGTGGATTAGCATTCGAGCCAAACATGAGCTTCCGGCTATTTGCAGTTACCTGAAAACGTACCACAAGGACAACAGTGTTATCCAAGCCCTTATTCCATCTATATAGTGCACAAAAATAGAGACTATTTTCTTATAGGATTATCTATTATTTGACAAGAGTAATAAATGAGATTTAAAAAGCGCCAAGGAGTTATTACTAGATAAATTCCTATTGACCCTCCTATTATGTTCTAGTAGGGCGTAATATATACATTTACTATAGATTTATAACCTAGAATACACTAGACATTATAATTGAGGCTTTATTATGCTTCAGGTAAACGCAGAGCATTAGCCCTAGCAAATAATTAGAACAGGCCAAGGCCTACTTGAAACGGACTGAAATATAAATTATAGTATATATACCCTTTACGCTCCAATTTAGTTATAACATCACCCCAATTGTTGAATATGAGGTCCTTTATCTTGCCTAGAGCTGGAAGGAATAGGCGATACTAGTCAGCAAGACCCATTACTGCGCTTTCTACCCTGGTCATTGCTATACTAGCAGTTGCTTCTAGCTTCTCTTTACAAGTCAAGGCAAATTCTTTCGCAATCCAGCCCAGGATTAGGTTGATCTGGTAGTCACTTTTACATCTCTTTGGCTAAACCTTAATGTCATGCTACCGTCTTCGACTGCCGTCATGGAGATGCTAATGTTCCAGGCCACTATAATTTGCATACTGGTCCTAGTCCGTTCAATAAGCTCTTGTTAGCAGCAAAGATAAACAAGAGTTCACAGGGAGATAAACACCAAATTCGTAAAGATGGCTATAGCGACGGACAGCAGTGCCCCCCAAAAAGGTATTACTAGAAATTACCTTTCTTTGCCGATCAAACCTCCGCAAAATGCTCCATCGTAGTGAAATGTGGATATCTGCTTCATACTCATCTCATCACTCCCTCGTCGAAAGTTGAAGGAAATTCCTGGAGAAATATCTGCAATTAGATTTACGCGTTAGCAAATCGGTTACATTGGCATAGTCCGAAACGTTAGACACGGTCTCACAATTGTTACGAATTTGAAAAGAGACATTGGCCCCCTGACTTCCTTCTAGGTCCTCCCACATATTTAGAGGCGACTTCTCAGTTGACGGTCCCGTGAAACTTGGATTCGCTCCACAAGTCCACGATGCGCCTGGACTTGTCTGTGTTAAAGCATACCTTGATGGTAGGGATTTCATATCCCCAACCTTGAATCGAGGTCTCCAGTCACCGCCCCCAAACGGTTCTACGGCAACCAAAGCGAGTTTCCTGGCCATCAACGAAAAAGCAGTGACAACGGCTGGCAAGAAGAGTTTGTTAGACATGATGTAGATGCCTTTACTTAGCTCGGTGATGAATGGGCCAGAATATGGCAGCTGAGGTACCTAATTGCCTGCCTGAAGCGGTGCGGTCAGATCCTTGTTGAGGCCTTGGGAGTCTTAGCTAGCTCGTTCAAGTCCACAGCACATTTGCCCGTAGAGTTACCCGTCATCTCGTGGACTTGGAAAAGGTTTATTGAGCGAGCACGGCCGCTAACGCTCCTACCTTTTTGCTCTCTCCTCATCGCTATGTCAATGACGGTCTTCCACAAAACAAGGACCGGAAAAGCCTGCCCAAGGCTTTTGGGGCGACTCATTGTGCAGACATTTGAGCGGTATGTTTCTGGCAAGGCTGATGAGGCGCTCTCGCCAGACATGTCCAATTTCATCGGCATGTGATCTAACTTGGAACTGAGTGCAGGCACAGTTGAGACCCTGGACTTAACTGTGTCAGGCATGACGGGGATCCTCCGTTTCCGTGCAGGGGCCTTTCTTCATAACCAGTGCTATCTATCACCTTGGGGTCGATACTATACACCACTATAACTGTCTTTCCTCGTTGGCTCGTTCAGGTCACATCTAAACATCTTCCAGTATCGCTGATAAACTCTGTTACATGGTAAGTACCTATTCACCGTTATGATCCTTACTATTGGCTTAAATGATAACGACGAAGAATTATAAGCCACTGCCAGTCATTAACAAAGGTCTACACACTGAGTTTGGTCAGGCCAGTACCGAGCTTTGTGACAAAGAAGCTTGATTTCCCAGTGGTGGCAAGACGCTGGAATGGCACCCTTGCCGGGGTAGCTAGTGTCCTTGCCATGACCGCTTCGGCTATTATTGCTTTTCTCGAATTTAAAATGGCGAGAGTAGCTGGGCTGTTACGGACGAAACATCACGACCTATATTTACATATGGAAAGGGCCTTAGATAGGCAATCTCCAGCTAGAATGCAATTCCTGGGGTCTCGGTATTATTACTTAGGCTTTTACTCATTGAGGGTGTTCTCTAATGCTTGTGACATGCATCGAGTTCCTGTATGTCTTGCACAACGGAGATTATTTGTGAGGACTACGTAGGACAAGTCCTTGCAGACCACTGCCGGCGGTGTAGCTGCACAAGCGTGATCAGAGCCACTCCTTTTTGCCAAAATGCGACCAAAAGGCGCCGCCATTTCCCTTTCAATACTGGCCTCGTCTATAATCTTCAGCACACTCTGCACAGCAACCTTGGGGACAATTGGGCCTTTGAGTGAGGTGCATAGCTTTAAAATCCTGAAAACATACTCTTTCAAGTTGTGCGAAGTCTCTCTAGCTGCATTCTTTCTCAGCTAGACTCGGATTGTAGTTTTCGCAATGGGAGGCAAAAGAGGTAGAGTGTGGAAATGAATCAGCGGACAGAAACGTAGGGCGAGAGTTTCATACTGGCTAAGGGGCCAAAATTCCCTATGTCGACTACTCCCGGGTTAACGCCAAGGACAAGCATTCCCTGATTTTTATGATTTATGTTGAACTTGGCATTAATGACATTCAGCGCCGCTCTAGACCCTACATATGAAATTTCGACCTCTATATCGAAGTTTACGAGTCTATCTCTGCCATGCCTGTAGTTAAAGCGACAATCTTCTTTACTTTTGCCCTTAAGTACAAGTAGTAGGAACAAGCTGTAGCAGAACAAACCATCAACAGGTGAAGTAAAAGCGGCATTCGCAATCAAGTAGCCGAGATTGCCATTAGTAATAGCGGGAGTCTAAGCAGCAGCGTTTTCGAGACCATTGTAGTCTGTAAGGTCTTCGGCCAAAACGTGAATGTTGGAGCAGTCAGGCAACTCAGTAGATGCTTTCTGCTTAGTAGAGGCTGTGTCTTGAACTAGACCGACAGAAGTGTTGTCGGGTTGTTCGAAAGCTGGCGGAAGAACTCAAAATGATCACGGGTATCCGCTAACAACTTCCTCAGCTCGCTCGATGGTACAGATTGTCTTTCAAATAGAGGAATTTAGATTCCCGTAAAGGATGGTGTTTTTTCTAGACTTTGAATACTAATAACTAAAGCCCCCTTGAAATATAATACAAGCCAGCGGTAATCCCTGTAGCGGAAATAAGAAACATATTAGTCACAACTATAAGAGGTAGCTTGCAAACTTTCGCTGTTTATTAGTCCTGGGCAGGGAGCAGACATCAGAATGCAAGCCAGCTGTGATCCCAAAAGCGGAAATAACCAAAAGATTAGTCACAGCCATAGTAGGTGGCTGAAATATCCCCATGGGATTGGACATGTTATAATTGTTATAGTGGGGCAGCTCTCTCAAAGTAAAGCTTCCTTTATAAGCTGATTAGAAACCAGGAGAATTAAATAACTCATAAATTAATGTCTCTAAATGTAAATTCAATGTATATTCCATATAGTGCCGAAGTAAGCAAAGCAGCCCCTGGAGAGGAGACAAGAATTGTTCGGCAGATCAAACGGCAATCAAATACATAGCTCTAATAACACTATGTAATCTAGAAAATATAATATATCTCAACCGCGAAGACCTCTACAGCACAGTATTCATTTTATTACTCGCAAGATATTTCAGCACATTTAGGAAATTACATCTCCTCTATTGCACCATATAAACATCTGCTATATTATACATCAGAATGGCTCCGAGAATTGCTGTTGCTGGTGCTACTGGAGAATTGGGGATTCCTATTGTGATAGCCCTGCTAGCTGCAGGATACCATGTCACTGCCCTTACACGAGAAGGCAGTAGCAACGCCTTGAAACTTCCTATGAGCTCCAATCTTTCAGTGATTGAAGTTGACTACTCTTCAGTCCACTCCCTCGCAATTGCTCTCAAAGATCACGCCGTTGTCGTCTCCACTCTTACTTCTACATCAGTTGACGATCAAGTCCCCCTTATTGATGGTGCTATCATAGCTGGGGTGGCAAGATTTATCCCATCAGAGTTTGGCAGTGATGTCACCAACTCCAAGCGGAACAAACTACCGGTATTTGAGGGCAAGGTCAATACTCACCAATATCTCGAGACTGTTGCGGCCAAGAATCCCAATTTCAGTTACACAGTGATTTGCAACGGCGCTTTCTTGGATTGGGGCCTCCATGGCTTCCTCATCAATGTCCCTGGACACACAGCTACTGTCTATGATGGCGGCGACATTCCATTCACAGCTACTAAACTTGAAACTATTGGTAAAGCTGTCGTCGGGGTAATTAAGCATCTCCCTGAGACGGCTAACCGTCCAGTTTACATTCAAGACGCTGTTGTTACCCAAAATATGCTGATTAGTTACGCTAAAAATATAGATGGCGTGGAATGGGAGATTACGCATGAGTCTACTGAAGCAATGTTTATGAAGTCCTCTGCAAAAGTAGCAAAAGGTATTACTGATTGGTCAGTAATGCAGCCTTTTGTTTTCAGTTCTGTTTTTGGGGATGGATATGGTCAAGATTTCTCTGACCATTTGGACAACAAGCTTTTGGGGTTGAACGGTTTGACAGACACAGAGGTTAGGGCTTTAGTTGAGAGTTTATTGTAATTAGTATATTACAGGCAGAATAAGGGATAGGTCCTTAGGATATTAAACTAATAGGCTATATTAGTCCTTATAAAATAACTTACTATATAAGACATTTAAGATATATATATTAAAAAACTTAAATAGTTAATTATTCATAATATAATAATATTAAATATAAGTTATACTTTATTTATTAACTATGTAACTATACACTGGATTGTCACTAGGTAGAAACTCCAATGAATACTACCAAAACAGCGGCATATGTCGCCACCACACCGAGAAGCTCCTGATGTGTAGAACCGGAGGTAAAAGCAACAAAAAGAGCGAAACCCACTGTCGAAATTACCACTGTGATTATGGCAGCATTCTCACTTCGATGAAATCCTTTGGTCATAACTATCATCGGAACCAGCACCGCTAGGCCAGCCACAAGAGACATTCCGATCCGCTTCCACATTTCATGAGAACGAGAGAGATGTTTCGCCCTGGAATAGGAGAATTCCAAGGACCGAAAAGACTCCAAGTCGCTCTCATCTCGGTATTCACTACCATTAAGAATAGCTGACAACGGCAAATTAGCTCTATCTATCCCTAACGACACCAAGAGCAGATTTATACCTTGCGCACTAATCATTCTATTATTAACGATGTTATTTACTCTATTTTGCGAGTCTTGCGCAGCCGCTAATGCAGTGTTTGAATCCCCTAGGTAGTTGAATATTAGTATGCAGATTTTCTCTAGTGGATAAGCAAGTCTTATACATACAATACTTCTGGAGTAAATCCTCCACTTCTAACATTTTCCAGCCTCTATAGGACTTGATTTCTCGCATGTTATTGTAAATGGCTTTAATAGCATACTCCATGCGCATCTGACTAATATATTATAACCTCCGCCAATGCTCTCTGGTGTTAGAAGGCAGCTTATTGAGTTGTATATCGGCCATGGTATGTGTGAAAGTAAAAAAGAAATAGCAGGGAATTAAACAAAGTCCACCTAGCGAATAATTACTGGGGAAATCCCTAATCTTTATTATTACAACCCAACTCTTATAGTCGCAACAATAGGCCTACAGGGTAAGCCAGACCAGATTAAAGAAAGACCAGTCAGCTAATTATTACAGAATCATTTAAATCACTAATAATCCAAATAATCCAGCCCATAGATCATTAATCCTATAAAATAATCCATAATAAAAATCATTAAAATTCTCAATAATCCAGACATTCCAACTAAATATATAAGTTTACTTCTTTATACTTATTTAAATAACTTAAATAGCCAGTTATTAACATAAAATTAAAATTATAACACACTCTATAGCTTACTCTTTAAGTAACATTATTATTATTACTTATTACCCATAAGTCTCTTAACTAATCCACTAATATAAACTATAAATTAAATTTATCCCTTAGGAATCTTATAAGCCACTAACTATTTAAAATATTAATAACTTAAGTTATTATACATTAATAACTTTTATTTAAACAGTTATTAAACTTATAGGTAATATTATAACAATAGCTAATATTTAGCTACTAGCGGACCTAATAAACTAAAATGCCCTTATTAAACTATAATAAGTACTACTACTAATACTTACCCTAGAATAATAAGTAATTAATACTCTTTTTATATGCATTAAAACCTTAAAATATCTTATAACTAAATAAAAAGCTACTATTAAAAAATAAAAAGAATAATTAAACACCCGCCGCGCTAAAGAAAAAGGAGAAATTATTTAACTTAAGTAACTAAATAACTATAATAGAAACCCTAGTAATAAAAAAAAATACTTTAATAAAGTAAAAACTTACTTTAAGTATTTTACTACTACCTTAGCAAATAATAAAAATAAAGTTTACTTTATAGTTAGTTACCTTATAAAAGCAGTTAAAGAATAATTTAAATCCTATATAAAGGACTAAAATATAAACCTAAATTAAAGAGACTTAAAGGCAAAAATATAATATATCTTTAAGAAATATTAAAATTATAAAAATAAACTTATTAAAGCCTTTAAAACTATAAATAAATAATAAAAAGCTAAAAAATAACTTTAATTATTAATTTAAAAAGGACCCTTATTTAAATATACTATAACCTTTATTTAACTTCTCTAAAAAGTTAATTAAACTAAGGAATTTAAAAAGAAATACTACTATATAAGTATTAAACTAAAAGTTAAGGATAAGCTCTTTAAACTTAATAAAAATAAACTAAGCTTTACTAAGTTTATAGAAAAAGCTATTAAAATTAATAATTAATAATTTAAATATAAATAAAAACATAAGGCTAAAAAAACTAAGACTATACCCAAATTCTTACCTTAAGCTAACTAAAGTAAAAAACACTTAAATTATATAGCTAAAAATAATAGCACGCAACTGGGAAAAATAAATATTAATAACATTAATAAAAGAAAGTTTATTAAAATATATAATGCCTATAGTAAGAAAAGCTATAAAAAAGTAAATTATTATTTTAAAATAACCTATAAATTCTATAGTAAAAAAGGCTATAATAAAGCCTACTGCTACACTAAAAAAAATAAAAAATATTTTAAAACCACTAAAAATAAAGTCTAAATAAACATAATTATAAAAGTACCCTATAATTACCTTAGCTAAATAGCTTACTATAATAATTTATATCTTATATATAAAAGCAGCAAAGAAAAATTTAAATACTATTTAAAAAGGCTATAAGCTAGGAAATCTTATAAAACTATATAAATTAATACCCTTAATTTTTATAAAAAGAAATATAAAAACTATAGTTCTATAAAACCCTATTCTATCTATATACTCTATAAATACTTATCTTATAGCTTATAGAATATTAATTATATATATAAAGAAAAATAAATTACTACTTAAAAAGAAAACTATAAATATAATAATTACTACTTATAAAACATAACTATAAATATATAAAATACCTAAATTATAAATTTATAAAAGGATACCGCTATAGCTATAAAAGAGAGTACTAATAAAATATAAATAAAATATACAAACTCTTTAAAAAATAAAATAAAGTAACTAAAAAATACTTTAAAGACCTTAAAGAAAAAGAAAAACTAATATAAAAAATATCCTATATATACTAATATAAGCTCTATAAGTTAGAAAACTTAAATTATAAGTGCCATAGATATAATACCTACAGCTTATAAAACTCTTAACATAACTGTAATAAAGTCTTAAATATATTAATTAAGGAATATTAAAGATAAGAAAAATAAAGATAGTACCTAAAGGAATTCCCTTTAATATAAATTAACCTCCTTACACTTACTAAAATTAATATCTTTAATACTTATAATTATATTACACTACCATAATCTTATACTCTATTAAAAATAAAACTTATAAAAAAATATAAATTTAATAAAAAATATAAAAATAAAAACTATAAATACTATAATAAGCTACACTATAAACTATATATATATAACAAAATTAAAAAATAGTATAATAACTTATAAATATATCGCTAACTAACTAAATATTAAAAAACACACTTCCTGTCCATTAATCCACTGGTTGTTCAACTGCAACAACACGCTGATTACTAGTAAACTGCCGATATGCGCGAATCATGTAAAGTTGAACAACGCGACCTAAAACAACCATCTTTATTGGCTAACTCT